GCTTTAAAAAAAAAAAAAAAAAAAAACTACATCTAAAAAAGGAATCTTTTTGAAGGAGACCTTTAAGTAGAATTCCAGGCAAAAAATGAATTATTCTATTCTGTTCCATGCAGAATCACCTTTTATATTATGCACTTTTCTTATTTATTACTGTCTGATTCATAAGTACCTTCTTTTCCATGCCGTTCCTTACCGTTACTGTCTATTTCCACTCTTGGACCAACAACACTAGATTGCTGCTGCTGAATGGTGCTTTCTACAAACGTTGTCGGTCCCTGGAGCTCTTTCTGTAAAACTTTAAAATCTTCTAGGCCATGTCAAAATATATCCTCTACACCAGGGGTAGGTAGCCTTGATACTCCAGCTTTGTCCTTTTAACTTTCCCTCTTGGTGGGAGCCTTGTACTACCCATCCAGAGGGATCTAATACCCACAGATTGGGTGACTAACAGCGGTTCTTACAATGGCAAGAGAGAAAAATTGAATTCATTCGACCCCCCATTTTATAGCAGGTGTGTCGAGGGTTTAGAATCATGTTGCGGGGGTCTTTGGTAATATATTAACACAATAGACAGAGGTAAGCAATCTTTTGCTCTGTTGCTGTTGAAGGACCATTGTTTATGATATAACGCTTGATTATGATACATATATTATATGTTTATAGAATGATATTACTGTCTGTGAATAGAACTGTATAAGTATGGAAAACCAATAAAAAAAAAAACTTTGAAACGATACTCCAGCTGTGGTGAAACTACAAATCCCATAAGGCATTGCAAGACTCTGACAGCCAAAGGAAGGACTCCCAGGCCATGATGGGATTTATACTATCACCACAGCCGGAGTGCCCAAATTGCCTAAATCTGTGCACCCCCCCAAGCTTCTGAAAATAATGTTAGTGGTACTATGACAAGGGATGTCCTGCATGTTCTGACATACTGACAGTGGCTTATTCTGACAAAAGGATGTGTTCTCACAGTCCTAGCTCCTAGTATGCCAGTATGGTGTGACACAATTGGAAAGAGCAAGGCACTCCAACAGAGATTTGTGGTAACCAGTGGTCCTCAGACCCACAGCCACTTTAGTCACACACAAGTGCCAACCCACAAAATTCACCTGGGGCAGATAAGCACCTTTCTCACACAACTAGAGACCCTGAGAATTAGAAGTAAAGCTTACCTTGAGATTAGACCAAACTACTATATAAACTGTATATATCCATAAGAGACCTGGGTTTTCTAAGGCCCTGCTCTAGCCAAAACACTTTATTATGATTTGCATAGAATAGGGAAGGTTTTTATTTTCTGTGTTCCAATTGGGGAGCTTTATCCAACCAATTCACTATGTGTAGACATATAAAAAACCTTTTTTGCAGAGTGAGGAAGAGTTTGAACTTCTGACCATGTTTTCAGTGCTACCATTCTAGTCCCTCGTACAGCTTTTCCCCCTACTGTCTTAGGGTGAGGAAGTGAGGGAAAACCTTCCCAATGTGGTCACAGGAAGGGCAAAAACTTTTTCAAATCAAAAGAGGAAATGGAGAAAAAAATATTTGTGGGTAGTTTTGCATAAAACCCTCATTCTAAAACACATCAGACAACCAATCCTTTAGCCCCCCAAAAAATTGGATTATATACATTAACCACTTCCAGCGGGTTCACGTAAATGTACATCCTCCGCTGGAAGTTGTTATACCAAGAACACAGCTGCTGCTGCAGCCGTGTTCTTGGCACCGTTTTAAACAGCCGCCGATTGCTGTTTAAATACAACTGATCCTGCATCTATACAGGTGCCATATCGCTTGTATTTTGTGGCGCCCCCCTCTACCGTTGTCTGCTTCTCGGGCTCCACTGTCCCCAGTGTGGGCCCGGGACCAGCATGGAGGGTCTCCCCTGATAGATGGGAGGAGAGATGAGTGGCTTCCAGCAGTGCGTCACTGGGCACATTCTCCGGCACCTAGAGCCAGAAGAGGATGCTGATGAAGCAGAGATCTTTGGGGTCCCTAGGTGACATTAGGGGTCTGAAAGACCCCTGATGTCTACATAAAGAGGACCTGTCACATTATATTTGCTATGACATAGGGGGCTTGTTAGCCCCCTATGTCATAGCAATAAAGCTGAGTGTTAAAAAAAAATGTAAAAATTAAAAGTAACAAAAAAAAAATAAAAAAAAAAGTTTTAAATCCCCCCGCCACACACGTGCACGCACATACAATGCAAACACGCATCAGATGCAGATGTGCTACACGTTACATATCATCGCGAGCGTTGGAGTGAGAGCAATCATTCTGGGCCCATCAATCACTGGTAACCCTAAACTGACGAGCCATAAAGGCGTTTAAAGCGTCGACTATGGGAAATTTTGGTTATTGTAGTTTCTTGCGGTTTCACAGAATTTTAAGGTTTGATATCTATTTACCTGGCGTGACCCCATCTTTTATATTTTACCAAACAATTGAGCATTATATCCTGTTCCTGTGCACTAAATTTCATTATCCTAAAAATACTTGTTTGATAAACATTTGCGCATACCGTGCAACATAAAAAATTGCAACTAGCATCTTTTTATTCTACAGGGCCTCTGCTTTCAGAAAATATATCATTGTTTGAGGGTCTGAAGCTGTTTTCTAGCCAAAAATTCAGATTTCATCATGTGTGTGCAAATGTAAGAAATTGCTCTGGGCAGCAAGTGGTTAAAAATACACACAAAATATATTTATGCTTAAAAGCATTCAGATCACAACTACATATGTTTCTAATGCATAAGAAAGAATGGGTAAACAGATTACCTGAAGAGAAATCATATCTGGTCGGTACTGCTTACGGAAACCAAGGTCGTACATAAGAAACTTCAACATTTCGAAGGCTTGCTGTTCGCTCATGTGTAGGAGAAGAACTCCGGCTACGAAGCTAACTCCCTGACAATAGCCAACTTCTTGGTCCAACAAAGAATATGCTTTAAGAAGGTTATATAAAGACAACTGGCCTGCCCCCAGCTGTGTGGAAAAATACGGATGGGTTGGAAACGTTCTTCCTGTTGAATAGATGCATTCATAAATACATATGCCATATCAAAATCTCACACAATTAAAACACAGCTTCCACTGCTGTAAACAAAAGTAAACAGTAAAATAGACCTCAACCCTAAATAGATGACCTGTAGTCCACTTTTCCATCTCTCAGCACCGCTGATCTTGTATATTCCCTTTACAGCCACTTCCGGTCCACACACAGTACATGTGCTCCAGCAGCCGCTGCATGTCATTGGACAGGATAGGCTTCTTGATGGTAACAGTGGCAGAACATGCATGCACAATGAACATTGGCACAGCTGCTTATAGTCTCGACTACATGTGACATAGTGACAGCACAGGAAAACAACCGTGGACAGGGACAGAGCGTTGTGACCCCATAACAGGAAGTGACTGAACAAGGACCTTCATAGCAGGATTATCAGACATGATTTAGATGAAAGTACCAGATTAAAAAAAGAGTACAAACTTTTGATGTGAACATGTGACAGATTACATGAGATTTATTTAGGTCTTCTTTAAAGATTTACACCAAAGTATAAAAAATTAGTTTTGAGTCCTTCTTAAAGTGGACCTTTACACTCAGAAATCAAATTCTACCAATGCATCGCTGTATGTATGATTATTAATAATAACATAGACCTATCGTGTGTAAAATGCTGTGATTTGAAATGCATACACTTGCAGAGCATTCACTTCCTGCTTTGAAAGTGCAAATTACTTCAGTTTGCCAAAGCAATGCACACTGGGATTGCCTTGTCATCAGTAGAGCATTGATGGGAAATCTCATCTCAGTGAAAGGCATTTTCCTTCCATGAAATGATGTGCATGGTCACATGTCTAGTCACATGTGCCAGAAATCCAGAAAGTAATAGGAGATCTAGTAACCTGTCCATATGGCCACTGTCAGACGACTGGGAAAGAAAAGATAAATGAGATATGCAAAGAATACAAAGCTGGCAATTATCTAGAAGTATGTGTTTGTAGATTGTCATTACTAAACATATCTAAAGGTGTGTTTGTTGTTATTATAAAGATATGGGTAAAGGTCCGCTTTAAGAGAGTCTTGTCTATTATTCTGCAAACAAAATGTCTACATACCAAGATCGACTAGGATAGCATGCTGCTGGGCGGTAAGCTGTTTCAAAAGATCACTATATGTAGTATCTGTAGGCTGCTGTTTACTTTGCAGTCTGTGCCTTAGACGATACTGCACTGAGAGAAACTGCCATATCTCCCCACGTTTACTTTTCGGAACACCTAATCATTGAACAAAATAGAAACATAATTAGCTACTATATCTAGAATATGGATAACATTAAAATGGATATTTATTTTTAGTAATCTTGTTTAGGTTACTGTTATGATGTTTCATTTACTGATAGTTATTGATGGACATGTACAGAGTACAGAAAAAGGTGGCATGGAAGACCTCAGCTATGGGGACTGATTCGCTGAACTAAATGTATCCACCCTTGGGAAGAGGCAATTAAAGTGGGACACGATCAACTTTCATAAATATAAAAATGCCGCGTATAGTACTGGAGGGCACTATTTGCACCTGGAGGAAAATAAGTTTAACTTCAGCATCCAGAAAGGTTCTTTACAGTAAGGGTTGTGAAAATGTGGAATAGTCTTCCTCAGAAGCTGGTTGTAGACAATTCAGTAGATTGCATCAAAAAGGGTTGGCTGTATTTCTAAAGTCACAAAATAAAAAATGGATATTAACAATCAAGAAATAACATTGTAAAATGTGCTTCCATCTGGTTTTGGGGGTGAGGAAACCAGATAGCATGGTCAAGTTTGTTCCAATAGGGATCTATTGGAACAAACTTGACCATGCTATACAAAGCTTCCTCTGGATCAACTGAAGGTTTAGGGTCCTAAGAATCCTACCACGCTTTGGTTAAACTTAAGAAACGTGTGTCTTTTTTCAATCTTACTCACTATGTAAATATGTAAAAAAGGTCTGTACCTTCTTTCAGTGTGGCATAGATCTCTTCCATGTCAAACCGGATTTTTGTTCTGCAATTTAACTTCTTTTCCCAGAGACTTGAAACTTCTTTCTGACAAAGTTCAACTTCATCATAATCCAATTTGATTTTTCTAGATTGAAGTTCATCTCTGCTTGCTGGTAAAAAAAAAACATTTAAATTATAACTAAAACAAATTACGCATAAACATAAGATATCATAAACATCTCATTTTAGGTGTTTGACGGTCAGGAAAATAAAATGTTTTAAATAAGCCACATTGATATAAAATTGAATGAACCTTTGTCTTTAAAGTAGGGCTATGGTCAGGCTAGTCCTTACCATACTTTTTCGTTTTTTAGGCATGTGATGTAGCGAGCGGTCACATGACCACTCCAGTCCCATTCTTTTCCTTCCAGTTGCATGGGGGTGGGCAGGGAGCAGCACAGATGCAGGGACCACATGTCTCAGAGGTTGCTATGGCATGGCTGCTGTGGTGTTTGGGCCAAGAGTAAAGACCACTGGCTGTGGCGCTTGCATCATTATGTCACCCATGTAATACCGAGAACTACAAGCGAGTGTTAAAATGACAGATGGCTATGACAGGAAGTGGCAGCTGAGGCTCAGGGTCACAGAGCCAGGAGTTCCCACAAAGCTATTGCTGTAGGAGAGTGCACAGGAGCTCTGCATGCAGAATATGGGGTTGTAATGCACAAAGAAAAAAAGTCAGGTCCAGACTGGAGTTCTGCTTTAAGTTCGTGTACTAAGTTCTTAGATACTTTCATTGAAGTAAGAATTCAGAACAGTAAATATATCATTTAACACAGCTGTCAGCATAACAAATACATTTGGTCTCTTTACTACAGGAAAGTTTTAGTTTTGGTATCTATGTAGTGCCAATTTAATTCTGAGACTGTTCAGTAAATGACAGATACATTGCTTGTAGTGTACAGAAATACATAGTAAAGCATACAGAAAAGTCAAGTAACCCATAGCAACCAATCATTTCTTATGTAGCCTTAACAAAAGAAAATGTATTGGTTTCTCTGGGTTACTGCACTTTTCACATCGGCTTTAACCTTATTGCACGAGCCTATCAGGTATTATATAATGGAATATCTGATTGTGTTAATAAACTAATATAAATGGCTCAACATTTCTTTAATTTGTCTACATTAGGATTTTCCTTACCTTCTGCAACAATAATATGTAATGGTAATGAAATTGCAATCTCCTCGAAGGCATGAAAAAGAATAATCATATTACATTCATTTAAAAAAAATATAACTTTATTCTAACCTGTACATTTCACAATGCATAACACGTATGGAAGGGAGAATGCGATTGCTTGATAAGGTTAACATATTTAGCAGTCTCATCGGAAACTTTTATGAACAACATGCATATGTGTGTACAGATGGAAGCAATACTACATTGATGCTCGGGACCAGTGTTAAAGAAAAGGGAATATAAACGCACAGGCACAATAACTAGTTATTTGGAAATATGTAGTATTTTTTCTAGCTTGAATACTACTGCTCTACTGCTAACATTCTGGACTAACCTTCAAGTTTCAGGTTCTCTTTTTCCATTCGTATTAATAAGATCTGTTGATGTATTGCCTTCCGCCATAGCCTCTGAAGATCTTCAGAATTTCTCTTCCCATCAATGCTGTCTGTAGTATTTTCATCATGAAGAAGAGAGGCCAGTGGGTCCTCTTCCATGGTAGGAGGAAGGGGGGATAACGGCAGCAAATCGTTCACATCTAAATGGTCTGAAACAATCAGGACATAATATGTGCACAATAATTTCCATCGTGTCACACCTGCTTATCATATGGCATATCATCCGACTCACGAGTTATGCCTGACATACTGTTTATATAGGGAGATCCCGCACTGTCAAAAAAAAAACACACTTCCTTCTTCCTCTATGTTTTACTTATAAACACATCTGCACTTCTTGTTTTTAAGTACATTTTAGATCCCTTTCTCAGACACTTGATTACACTGTCTACAATTTTCAATTGTTACTGTATGAATTTTCTCTAGTTAAATTATTCTTCAACTCGGCAATAGCATAGTAAAATATGCACTGAACCAGAAAATTCAAGGCTGCTTTTTGTAATCAGAGGTTACATAAACAAACATTTTTTTTAACTTTATTTATATTTGTGCATCAGGTAGTTGAGGTACCCATATACAGGCCATTTTTTTTATCATTCAGTTTTAGCTTAGCTTATCCATACGTTTTTTGTGTTCCTGTTTTCAGGTGACTACCCTATCCTTTAGTTTGTGCTTTCAGTTGTTTAGCCAGAATGTAAAAATCTACTAATGTATGTAAGCATGCAGTAACTGTACTGAATTTCTATTCTTCCCTTAAAGTGACACTGCATTTAACCCTTAAAAATGCTGAGTAGCCACTGCTCCAAGATAACTCCTGTGATGGACTACAATCTTGATACACGGGAGTGAGCTTGGAGCAATGGCTACTTTACAACACACACAGGGACCATGGGGAACAAAAGTAGTCACCCTCCAGAAGGAAGGACATTGGTGTCGGCACCAATTCAGAGATGATTTAGGGTCTACAGCCGAGTGATACACAAATAAGATACATTTTTGTTAATAGTTAAGGTACGTGAATGTATTTTTCAAGCTTTTCAAGCTACTTTTTGCAGTTTAAAAAAAGTTTAGGAATTAGCAGCAAATATTATACAAACTGATGTTCAAGGTACCTAAAGCTAATATACAGTCTTATCAATAATTGATATACTGTATATGTAAAAGTTTAGGAACTAGCAGCAAAGATCATATACGTGTCCAATACTAGATGCAAGAAAACTCATGTGCAACTTACCTAAAGTGAATATACAGTCTTTTCAATAATTGTTAGATATATACGATACATATTTTGTATGTAAAAGCTCGGTTTGTAAATGTCTTCAATGTGTAATAATTCTTTAAAAACCTTGCTTCTGTGTAGAATGTATAGTTATATATACACAGGGGCAGCCATATTGGCTGATTACATAGGCAATGCTGCTACTTGAAGAGCCTTCAAAATCTGACAACTCAGGAGTGTTGAATTTTTTCTTCCCTGCACTTATGTGGCTCCTCTTGCAGGCCACTACCACACTAAAGGACAAAGTGACGCAAGGGCAAGCAGGAGGAGGTGTGGGGGGATCGCGGATACAACACTTCTGAAATTGTCAAATTCTGAAGATTCTTGAAGCAGCAGTTTCTTTGTAATACAGCAGAGATCAGTGGCATGGACAGTGGGAAAGGCGAGTATTAACAATCTTTTTTGCAGAGGACAGTTTATTATTTTAACAACAGAGTCTGAGCAATAGTACTGTTTAAACCTTGAATCTAGCAAATGTTTTTTGTTTCATTGTGAAGCAGGGAATAGTTAGAGCCTTTGTTAGATTGGTATTGTCCTACTGGGGAAGGTTCCCCCTCACTTCCTGTCAGGGTGTGATGGGAAATCTCTCCAAAGGGGACATAGACAAACACAAACTTTTAGTAAAGTGAGGAAGGGTAAGAATTGCTGACAATGTTATAATAGCGGTCTGTATCATCCTGGCTTGGTGACACCTACACAGCCTTCCCCGGGCAAAGGTACAGGAGCTAAGGGAAAATCTAACCAATGGGAACACAGAATTAAATAGACACCTGGCAGAAGTTGTAACTTTGCCCCACTCTATCCTAAAGTAAAACAAAAAATAAAAAAAATGGCTGGAGTTAGACTTTTCTTTGTACTGAAAATAAAGCCATAGGGAGGCATAAAGACAATTGCAACCAGAAAATGTATTCCTTAATACTGATTTATGAATTACATCAGTACTCAACACTGAAAATTCTCCATTAGTAGAAACGTTACAAAATGAACCGTTGAAAAAGAAAAAAAAAAAATCATTGTGGGGTTTTCTCAAATTTGACTGCAAAAGTGGAACTACACTTTAAGCTCAGACTACTCTCACACAATAAGGAATGAATAGGTTGGCTTATCTACAGGCTGGATGGACCACTGCTATGAACAGCCTAGCATGAGTGATATGATATGAAGTAATGGAATCTTTCTTTTTGTGAATGGATGATTACAACTAAAATATACCTCACAATAGCTCACATACCTTTATGTTGCATATCTGAGGGGGAACTGATCATTGGTGAAGCTACCCTGAGGAAAATTCGCTGACGCCACGAAATCCGTCGCGATGCGAGAGTTGTTCCGCTAATATTTAAAGAGTCATTACTACAGGAAGAAGTCGTTCTTCTCCTTCCTTCACTTTCACTGTTCAAAAGAAAAAACATTATTTCAGAATGTTACAAATACTTATATACCACTACCATTACTCATACCACCACCCAGTCCAACCCATACTAGCGTTCTCTAAATTAATAGCACATTACCCAATAAATTAATTATTCATTCTTTTTATACTACAGCAATTACAATTGTATTCAAATTTGAAATTTAAAAAATGGATTTTATCCCATTGGATGAGAGATTCTGTAACTCACTTCAATATGCTTTCACACACACACACACACGAATCACACAGCCACAACTAGGTGAGTAAATCCACTGTTATCTCTGTACAGTTTCCTTTACATTTAGGTAACATAATGGTACATTTTATTCTTCCACACTGCACCAAAATATAGAGCTTTAACTATATAACTACATAATACCCAATATTAAATGTGCTTTAATTTGTAACTCTTTTTACAGTTAGGTCTACACTGTCATGTTTCCTAAAGTAATGAAGGCACACCACAATTTTTTGCTGCATGGCTCAAAACCATGCCTTGTATCGCCCAACTCCTTTTTGTCTATGTGAGGCCTGCAATATACCTTTGCAGGCATATTCTTTTATTTCACATGGCCTGCAAAGGTATTTCCACAAAATGTCCAACACAAGATACAAATGTTTAATGTGTCTGACCAACAACAACTACCATACACCTATCAGACCTACTTGCTCCACTAAAACAGTATAATTCTATCCAAGAATATATCTGAATTCTAGAAACTTGGAAGTTCCACATGATAGCTTAATAATTGCATATAAGCTGCCCTGAGAAACCTGAACGCAAGGTTACTTAGCACTATTTGTCATTCTGATCTAGCTACATGTACATATTAAACACAGAGATAAAGCAAACCTAGTACTACTGTTGACCTGTCATCTATATGAACTAGGTTCTCCATTATCGATATTCTCCTACTTAAACAGATTATTATTCTATTTCAGATGCAACTTTGAAAACCTTTCCATGTGCCCATCTCTTCAACTGCTGGGCAACAATGATGTTCCTGCTCAGGAGCCAACCAATCTGGTTTTTCCGTAGCACAACTAAGCAGCTAGTAGGCTACCATTACTTAGAGCTGTATTTCCTTCTTCTCCATGATGCACCCTGGACCAGAAAATTTATTTGATTTCACAGGCACAGCTAAGCTGTAAGAATGAAAGCTGGGCAGCTATGCCCTGGTGTACTTATAACACTTAGCTGCAATTATTTAGTTTGTGACTCTGCAGGTTGGCACTGGGGAAAAAGTATGTGACAGTGTAATCAACTTTTTTGTGAGAAAGCGGCTGATTATCTGGTAGACCCAACCAACAATTTCTACTATCCTCATACAAATCAGATGTTCAGCTCAGGCAAAAATCTTGTTCCCCACATTTCAGACATTTCAGGCTGTCTCTGATGCAAGCCGAGAGATCATGGACATCTACACAAGGCATGGCCAAAACTGCACACTACTGGAAAACTGTTTTAAATGGCAGCTGTGTCTGGGATGCATTCAATTAGTGCAGTGAAGTCGGTGTGTATTATCTGGTTAAGCAGGGTAGGTCTTAACCTGCCTCAAAGCTGGCCTCTGCCCTACATATAGAAAATTGACTAGTTGTAAACATAGTATATAAGACCTTAAAAAAAAGAAATCATGCCAACTGAGCCCCTGTGAGGTCATGGGTGAGCACCAAAGTCAGGCCTTTATGACTTCATACTTCCTATAAAATTATCTGCACTGAAAACATTCATAATCCTATTTTGCTATCCTATTTTGCAGGTTAAATATGTTACTATATAAAATGTATTTAAGTAGAATTCTGGCATCCCATTAAAAAAATGTGCTGCAGCATTTAATAAAAGTGAATCTGCACTTACAGTTTTCTCTTAGACTCCATGCAAAGTCCCACAAATATCTGTTGATCCTGCCAGTGAAGTCCATCTCATGCAGCTTCACGTCATGGTCCGGCAATGATTCTGCATCACTCCTAAATTCAGAGTAGAGTTGCCACTGCCATGTAGGCTGTACTTGCTTGCACTACAGTAAAATAAGATGTTGTAGGGTGCATGGCTATCGGCATCGTCACAGCTGAATTATAAGCTGAATTATAAGCTTGTAGCTTGTCCATCAGCACCTGACCACACCTAGTCCTGCCCACTGTCTTCTGGATTTACAGCAATGTATCTGTTGCTGAAACCCTCTCAATGTGAGCTACAGTGCCTGGGAAGGGGAACATGTAAGGCAAAAATTGAAGGAGGATTTGACTCAGCCAGGAAAGGTAAATAAACATTCTATTCACTTTGAGGCCTGTAGATCACTTACAGTTGTACCTGAATTTGGCACGTGTTTAGAATGTAATACAGGAGCCTATAGTTGTACTTCAAATTACCCCTCTTCTGAATAATGACTCAACTCCTGAGTAAGTGGTAACATATATAAAAAATACCAGGTTTGGCTATATAAAATCACTGCTTTCAGCAAACATTCACAGTAATGTTTGCGAATTCGAAACAGGTCATGCTTAGCCTTTCCATAGATGTCTGCTAGCCTGAAATTTCATTATTGTCATTAATGCACGAGTAGAAAAAAATGTTTTGGGATGTCCTCCTCCACTTCTCTGTCAGTTTGACAAAAACTGAGCCATCAATAATAATAAGAAGCAATAGAGCTTTCCTAGGTCTCTCCTTCTTCAAATAGTTTATTTTTGCTCTGGCGATTCTTTGTGTGTTTTGTTCTTATACGCCTTTATTCCTATAAGGTTTTGTCACTGTATAATGTACTTATATCCTTGACTTTGTCCATTACATTATGTGAGTGCTGTGTCTTGTCAAACTGTTTTTGCTTAAATAAAAAATGTATAAAAAATAGAGCTTTCCTTCTTGTTTTTTTGTGCAACAGTCATGATGCTGTAACATCAGTTTTATCTACATTGCAGAGCCCATTGCACAAAATGGAGATGTTGCCTTCAGAAAACAGTCTGACATTTGCGTCTAACTTAACCTCAGCTTTGCATACCTATTCTGGAATGTGTTGCCTTGTTATTTTACAGCTGCATGTTGAGTACAAAGTTTCATACACTTTCTCTGCCTTAACCAAAACTAAACTATTGATGCTTTGTGGCTTTGGCCTGCAACATATTTAGGTTTTAACTAGAGGAAACAAGCTTCCTCTTTACTTTTTTCCGAATAAGGAACAAAACACACATCAAGGTAACAGGCAGAGTTCACACAAAAACTATACAGTACTTCTTGACAGAGGGTAATCTGTATATGAAGCCATACACATAAAAAAGATGTGATTTTTTAATTTAAGTCAAGCAAGCACTTTGCAAGCAATCATATCTCAACCTTTCCTTACCATGGCCACAGGAAACTGAAAAATTACTATGTTTTGTCATATGATCATTGCCCTTTGCTAACAGAGGTTCGTCATGTAAGCCAGAGGGCTTGGACAACCACAGGTCTACAGACCCTATTTTAGAAGGGTTGGTTGAATGACCAAGCCATGTATGCAAGTTTATGTATGTTTAGAGACCAAATGTCACGATTTGCACTGCAATTTTAGATAAAATGCACAGCTGACTCTTACTATAGCTTTCCTAACTAGTTATAGTAATAGTTAATCTATCAAAAACACTTCCTGAGTGTGCATATGAAAGCCTATGGATGAAGGAGTGGACAAGAGAGTAAGGCCTTACCTCAGAGGAAACTATAATCAGCTAAAAATATACTTTGGATGATTGCTAGTTTCTCTATAAACGAGCAGTAGAAGTATCTGCCTAAAGATATGAACAATTGGTGCTCGATTCACCTTCAACTGGCTGGATAAGGCTCTGGATCTATGGGTATCTAACTGGACCAAGAACATCAACTGGACATTTGTAAATGACCAATACAATGAAAGATTGTTCTTTCCCTAAAAAGTACACAAACGTGTGTGCATAAACTAATTTGTGTTCATAGGAGTCGTAGATGCTGCTCTAATATCAGGAGAACAATTTCATCCTGCCAAACAGGATTTTGTATTTGACAGAGGCCCATATGGTAATCTGCACTTGTAGGTACCCTCCAGACATTGGACATACAGTACTAGACAACAATTTAAGGGCTTTTGTACATGCATGTTCAGAGTTCTTATTTGAATCTTGAAGCAGGGGTAATTTGTTGTGTTTTTGTCCGAGTCATAATATGTATTGTTTTTGTAAATGTGGCATCTGCTGCATTGAAATGGTTGTAATCCCTCTGTATGATTCCCCGGGAATACAATGTGGTCTCTCAGAAACTAATAAAAAAATGCAACATGAACTCCTCTCAAAATACATACATATTTTCTGAAAGCATCTAAAGTTCATATTTTCTTGTGGCTGCATTTGGCTTTAGCCTCTATGTTTGTAGTGTAGTTATTGACTTTGTTTTTCCCTGACACTAAGTGCCAATGCAGATGGCTCATAGGTGCAATGAAGATGTATTCAGGAATGGTATTATAGTGTACTTCAGTACACACAACAAATGCTTACACAGTTGACACATTATTAGTGAAAAGATGAATACTGATTGTTGCTGACGTTGCTGTTTTGACTGACATTTCTTTACTGAATAATCTTGTGTAACCCACATAATTATTAAATCATATTTAACATTAAAGAGTTTTTTGTATCTTGGTCTATGTAGTATGTGGTATGCACACCACATATTCTTCAACTATTCAGTTTTACCACATATTTTCACATGGAAAATAAATCTAATGCAGCAATGTAATGCTAAGACAATTAGGCCTCATGCACACAGCTTAGAGTCAGACCGTACAGATCCGTGCGGCGTGCACGGCCGCATCGGGCCGTTCCCGGGAACGACAGGGATGGATCCTGTCTGGTCCAAGCACGCTCACCCGCACAGATGTGCAGTTCGGGTGAGCGTAAGGCGGCGTCCTCCCATAGAGAAGACCAGGCTGCTGCGTACAATCACACGCAGCACCTGTCCTTCCCGGGAAAGGCCCGATGCACGCCGCACGGATCTCTACGGGCCGACTCTAAGCAGTGTGTGTGAGGCCTTATGGCACTGAACACTCAAAAGGCCTATATACACTACAATGAACATTTACATAGGCTAAGAACCACATTACTAGGTTTTCTGAAAAAAGGGATCAAAGGGCAGTCATATTGACAAACCCTATAGATTTGGTTTTAATGCAACAATTTGCCCTGAGGCTGTGAATTGTTTTCTCACTAGTAAAAGACTGTACACCATCAATCCACACCAGCAATACAACAACAAGGGTCAGAAATGTAACAACCACTATCTGAATTTTTACCCTAGTGGTCTGGAATGGGTAGCTTAGGCCATGTCTCAAGATTGTGCACCTTCTCTCACTTCACTCCAACAGAAGCTAGAAGAGGTTTTCTTGCTCATATTTTTATAATCTTGTATGAAGCATGTATTTTTTTTATGTACGAAAATAGTCTAGGATATAGGTCCTGGTACAGCTATACCTCTGGGCAATCAGAAATGCTCACTTGTAATATCACTTAAAGAAAAAAATAAAAGCAGATGGCAAACTATTGGTTCTCTCCAGCAAACAAAGCAACTATGTTACAATCAACCAATCTAAGTAACCTACTGCAGTCAGAATCCAGAGACCAGCTCACTGGAAGTGTACTTCTTGAAGTATGTGCTGTGTAGCTTTCTGTACCACTTTTCACGTTAGAATCTGCAAAGCAGGTCTGCATCTATTTGGTGTTTGTGAGAAATGCATTGTATTTAACACAAGGTTTTATGTATGTGAAGCAGCAAGGAGCTTGGCAAAGGGTCACAAGCATGAGTTCTGACCTGACCAGATTACTGACAAAAAGGAGTGGGGTGAGCTGGTGCTCTACAGTGTTGCCTAAACATAAAAAAGAAGATGAAGTGATGTGAAGTAATGAGCAGGTAGTCTGTGCTCTCTGTAGGCCTCTCCTGGGTTAATCTTTACTTTTGGCTGGAGTTCACCTTCAACAATCTCTGCATAATAACTGTAGCCATCTTGTTATATGAGGAGGGCATAACACTGGCCAATAAATAGCAGCCCTTAACCGTACAGATTGTTGTATTGTTCATAACTATTTGTCAACATATCTAAAGAACCCACAAATAAATAAAGGTATTTGTCGACAGGCATTTGTTTGCTTCAGGCAGGCTTTGAATACAAGCCTATTGGAATCTAAAACCCACTTGAAGCAGGTAAAATGCAGATCAAAATGAAGCCAGCTGCAGGTCAAACGCATATGTCAGTGGATTGTGAATGATCTCAGAAGTGTCTCAAACTGATGCCATCAACACAAGCCCAAAACAAGTTCTAGTTCCTTTGAAGGGCTATACCACAATTAGCACTAGAGAACAAGGTAGTGTTTAGAACATTTGCACATTTAATAGCACATACAGTAATCTGTGTCACAACATAGATTGTACTTACCATATTTGTACTGCGGGGGTGAAAACACATATTAATGTACATTACAATTATATTTAGGATTGTATCATGCAAGATTTAACAGATTTATTAGTACTGCTGTAGAGACAGACAAATGTGATGGTATAATGTTCATTCTTTAGAGAGGTGTCACACCTTGTGCTATTTACAACCAGGCTTACTGCAGCTAGAATGGTCTATTTACAAATAATGGAAAGGATATTCGATATTGTAGTTTTTTTGGTTTTTTTTAGTGGGAAATAGTGTTTGCCATAAGTTCAGCTAATAACCCGTTTATAAAGATGGACATAATGACTAAAGTCTTGTCCCTTACATTCCTAACCTTCTAATAAAGCTACTCCAGAACATTTTGCTGATAATTTACACAACATTATTCCATAACTCTCCATGGAATTTTCCTGAAGATGATCATTTTTTCACTTGCTTTGGCTGGAAAGTGCTGCTAATTCATCAGTCTGTCTAATTTTTAGTATTGCTTTTCACTTAATTTTAGAATGGTAACTTTGACTGAAGGTGGATAAGGATTTAGCGATAAAACAAAATCAAATCTTTGCCTACCTTTAGAAATAAACTCACAGGGATTGTGAAAACACTTGGGATTAACACTATAGCCCAAACTGGTTTTCTGTGAATTGTTGTCTTTTCCTGTGCTTCCACTGCTCTATATACCGTATGAGTCAGTCATTAGGTTCACTTTTTTACAATGCAAATACATTGTGGGGACACTAGAGTCCACATAGAATGCTTACTTACACAAAGGAGGGTAATACTCTGGCATCTGATTACATTACTCCAATTCATACTGTCCCAGAGCTCTTTCATATACAGTAAAATACAATGTCATGCTTCTGCCATAAATCCTATCTATCTGTTACCTGTTCAGTTTTGCTATTGAGCTAAAGCTGTGTATTTTTGTAACAGCCACCTACATGAAGGAACAGTGCACAAAATGGGAATGCCAGCTCAGAAACCCTGGTGGCATTTTGTTCAACATGAAAGCCCCTTTCGTATAGAAAATTGTGTGTTTATATACAGCCTTTTATTCTCACAACAGCACAATTCAGGAGTAATAGTGTGACACCATTAACATAAAAACGAAAATCCTACGCTTATTAAGCTGCTGCTACTTGTGTGCATTCTTTTGAACATTTTACCATTTAAGGATGCAATTAGGGTAATTACTGGGTCACAGACAAGAACAATTAACATGCAGACTGCATCCCATGGCAGTCCAAGGTTGGTTAATCCAGCAGGGCAGGTGAGCCACAACCAGACATAGAAATAGCGCAGGAGGTGTATGGGAGGCAGCTGTACCGGGTCTCACCTCTTGGGAGTATCTCTCTCAGGTTGGGGGGGAGTTCTCCCTGAACCTTGGTAAAGATTTTTCAAGAAAGAAGGGGCAGTGAAGGATGAGGGGAGACTGGAGAACGAAGGTTCACTCCCAGTGCGGATACGCCGAACAATAGGAATGGGGCTAAGTTTCAGCAATGACAGAAAACAATATTAACAATTGTGTCTTTAAAATCTGAACAAGGTAATGCAAGGAAAACTATAAGTTACTAAACCGTTGCAGAATGTAAAACATATCTAAATGGATGCATTTATAAACCTCAAAGCACTAAACTGCTTATTATACTTTATGTATATACGGTAATAATATTTATTTCCTTAGGGACTAGAAAGTAACTAGTTTTGGATTCAGTAGGGAAGCGTTAAAACCCATCAGGATATTGACAGTTGTCCCGATCAAAAAATTTCCCTCAAAACTTGTTCCGTTGACAGCTATAAAATGTTGGATTTCCTCTCACCTTCGGTATAGGTGAATGGTCACCAATGCAAATAAAGAGGTGAATCTCCCCAACAGGGACACAAACAATAATAAAAAATTGACAGAGGTTCTAACCCTTCCCCACTGTATCCAAAACATAAAAAAAGTCTTGTCTTCGCCTACATTTTAAAAGGAGTCAACCAAAAATAGTACGTCACCAGAAAAACTACAAATAACATTCACAGATATATGCATGTAATATTACCAGAAACAACAGAAATGTAGACATTTTACACTAGGCGACTATGCTTGCAGCCCATTGCAGTTTGGCAGCAGGCAGTTTGGACTAAAGGTGGCCATATACTGTGCGAATTTCAGCTGGATCTTGAGGAACCGGCTTAAAATCGCACTGTAGGTGGCACTGTTAGCGCCCTGTCGGCCGGCAACCCTCAATCAGCTGCCCGAAGGAGCCTGTCAGAAAAATCTTTGTACCAATGAGCTGCCTGCTCTGTTCAGGTATTCTGAAAGCTGCCAGTGGGGATTCCTCAATCAACGAGCTTGTAGCATTTATGGAGGAATCTGCTCTATTTTTGTTTTCCATTCAACCAGAGGGCTGAACGGAAAAAATAGAGCAGACTCCTCCATCAACGCTACGAGCAGTGTATGGCCACCTTAAGAGAGTTTTATCCGGGATAGGAGATACACCACAGGTTCATATCAATATGAAAAGTTCTTGAATGGTTTTTATTTATATCAATTTTTAAACAACATTGACCTGCCTTTATATTGTTTTTGCATCTTTGTCTAGTGTACTGTATCCCATAGTGTGGCATGTATAACACTGGGATAGGTGGAAGGGTGAAGGGCTCAGGGTTTCTATGGAGAACTGTCTTGTGGGAAGATATCCTTACTGCATTATCAGCTACTAATGGAAAGTATGAAATGGTTTGCATGGGATTACTTGTTTTCCACAGGAGATTTTAGCGATGACAAGATGCTAATTTGATGCTAAGTAGTATAGGTAGGTAGGGTAAACTACTACTGTTCATAGTATAGGTGGTGCTGCAAAATTAGTAAAATAATAATCTGGAGAGAAAAAAAAAAAAGATTCACCTCCTTTATACTAGGTCATAGAAAAATGTATTAGATTAAACCTGCTACCTAAACATTCAATGATAATTTATGCAACTTGAAACTAATATCCTTCAAAATATGCAAAAAAACTTTTGCAGAATTTAATATAACTGTCATTTTGGTGCTGTGCATCCTGCAGCTATTTGAGGCTAAAGAAGCCTTGGCAAAGGAAGTATAGTCCTTTAATGAACAGTAAGTCCATCTACATAAGAAATTATCCCTCCTAACATCTGCTTTACATAAAACATACTTATCTCTTATTAGGGATGCACCGATACCAGTTTTTCGACATCGAGTACAAGTACTGATATTTTTTTCGGTACTCGCCGACAGCGAATATCAATCCCGGCATCCCCGTGTACCGTTGGCCCGGCTTATCAGGATTGGCGACGAAGCTGGCTTCACTTGTTGCTAGGCAGCCTGGCTTCCTGACCAATTAGAAAGCCGGTCTTGATGTGCCACCCGGGTTCCTGGTCAGGAAGCCAGGCTGCTAGCAACAAGTGAAGCCGGCTTCCTAGCCACTCAGGAAGTCGGGTGGCGGGTCACCCGCCGCCTGGCATGCTAATTGGCCGGAAGCCGGCTCCATGCTCCCTTGCATCACTGCCGGCCAGAGGGAAACTCCCTCTGACCCGAAGTTCCAGTATCGGGGTAAGTATTGGAGCAATACTCGGTATCGGCACCGATAACGATACTAGTATCGGTGCATCCCTATTTCTTATTCTTCCTTTGGGCACTGCTTGTGGTAGCCATTGGGAAATACAAATAACACCAATTGCTGGGGATGCTAATTACTGCACATAGATTTTCCAGTTTGTAAAATTTCAGTGCCATGGGCTTCAATCCCTACTACAAGCTTGTTTCCTACTAGGGAAACAAGCTTGTTACCACATCACTGCAGATCCTGGAGTAGCTGGTTTGAGAGGTTCGAGAAAGAGCAGATGCCTCACTACCCATTGTTCTAAGCCTGTCAATATATAGTTTACATTTACCAATCTAAAATTAGCAGATCCTCTAAAAGTAAATATAATCATTTACATTCAGTGGCCTTTTCAATGAGTTATGTTTAAAACATTATTTTGTTAAAAGGAGAACTGTGAGGTGAGCTGCTTTTCACTCACCACATAGTTCTAGCCGACCTGTGACAATGAGACTGTCACAGGTCGGCTCAGTAGATCCAGAAGTGAACAAACACATACCGGCGTTCGCTCACCTCTCGATCCTGTCATGGCTCTCTGCCATGACAGGGGAGGGGCTGGATTTCCCCCTCACCGCTCCGATCCTCCAGCGCTGACTGGCGGAACGGACGGGGGAGGGGGCGGGTACAGCTGGTTCTGCCTCTAGATAGGCAGAGCCAGCTGTCAGTCACGCAGCTGGGCGGATCCAGACATAATTGTCGGGATCCGCTTCAGCTGCGGCGTCTCAGTATACTGAGCCTAGGGTGACGGGAGGACACTAGTTTGTGTCCTCCCGTTACCCTAAGGAGAATTATGGGGAAAAGCCTTAACCCCATAGTTCTCCTTTAAAGATGTTTCTACTACAAGTGCAGTAGGACTGGATCACAAACATTAGTTTCACATGTAATGATAACAAAACATATTACATTTTTCCATCTGCCTCCACAACATAGCCCTTTAAAGACAAACAATGTAGGTGAAATGTATAAGAGGAAAATAAAAGCATTGTCTTTATTATATATGGATCTAAAATATATGTCTTTATCTTTCTGTAATATTTTATTAAAAAAACATATTTCAAATATAGAAGTGGATCTAATGAGTTCTACATAACACAGTGGGATTTCTATATAAACATATTACTTTGCATACAGCTGTCATGTTACAGTAACAACAAAATGTATATAAGTAGTAAAAACTGTGCAACATTAAGGAAAATGGATTACTCCTGACACACAGTGTTAATTGGAAGTAATTCACCATGACCTAACAAAGAATGAATGAATGAAACTCTGATTAGTAAATGTATATAAATATACACATTTAGTGAGCTGGTCTATTTTTACAGATGGCATTGTATGTTAACTGACCTGCTTTGTGACCCATCACAGGCTACTGAGTGCTGCCTCTGAAGGGGGGACCTGCTGTTTGGTGACTTTGCATCAGAAAAGGCTATCCTCCGCTTGGCACTCGGTGGTGGGTGGCTGAAAGTGTGAGCCCGTCTGCGGAACTGCGGGGAATCCGGGTCTTCCTCTGGAAATGACTGCCAGGACGATGATACAGGAGAAGACGGTGGAGTTGCTGGAGGAGAATCCCCAGGAGAGCCGTCCTGTGGTGATGTAAGATATAAGCAATTGTTCCAACTTATGATGAATACAGATCATTCAGAGGTATCCTACAGTCTTAAATGCCTGTTCTTGAAAGGCAAAAAATGATCCCAGCCTACTGCATGCTAATTCGTTCAAACCGGTGATGGTAAGGTAGCTCACGATTAAAAATAAAAAAAAACAGAGCAATTCCAGGCTTCTGATCTACAATAGTATCGAAGAGAACACAGACTCTTATCAAAGGGGCAAGCACTCCTGTTTTTGTACTGAACAATAATGCCTTGCTGACTTTTCTCTCTTTGCCGGCTTCCTGGACATAAGTTTCCTGTGCTGTCAGTATAATATCCTGGAAAACAGTCTATTATTATAATAGAGGCTGGTAAATCGGCAACACAAGACTCACAAAGCCATACTGCTGTTGTGTCTATCACTCATAAAAGGCACATACTGTATTTCTCTGTAAAACACAGACTACATGAAACAGGAAGTGCAGCAATGTACACAACTGGTGGCAAGGTGGAGAAAAGAATATGTGTAACCAAACTGTGATAAAGTAAGCTTAGAATTAAAAGCCATATTGTTGTGATCATTGATGCCTAGTATGATACAGTATGCTGCCAGAGAAACCTTACCCTGTAAACACACAGGACAGAACAGACTAGGTAACAGTATTACCTAGAAATTAATTTCTATACTGTATATGCTATAGAAAATGTACCTTGTCACATGCAAAACTGTTGCGTTCACAACTATCCATGCTGCCCAGTCGGCCTCTCACTCGATTTGCTCCCTGTGGACACAACTCAACATTAATAGGACCATACTGACAGATGCCATCGTACTGGATGATCATAACAAGTTTTAATTCAAAAACATCAAAATGGATATATATGCTAAAATAACTTCAAAAATAACACAAGAATGTTTCCCATAACCATCATATGGAACTTCACTTTTATTAGGTGGAGTATCATTAAAAGAACTCCAGGAATTTTAAAAACTAACTCTTGCAGTGGGGCTACTCTGACACTGCAAGAATTAAAGTGATATTCAACCATTGCTGTTTTTTTTTATGATGAGGAGGTCCTCACTTATATCATTTAAACAATTGTATTGTTAAAAGTTTTCTCCTCCTCCTGCAGATCCCCCTGCCTGTTTGCAGGTGCCTCCTTCGGCTAGCTGGCTGCTGAGGAGACACTCGTGCATCTGTCACCTGCGCCTAGCTGTGTGCGTCCATAGACACATTGCTCTCCCACCAACAGTCTGACTGACGGCAGCAAAAGCCTATCATTCTACTTGCCTCAGTACCTTCCCCCACAACAAGGAAGTTCTGGGAAGAGCAGATATCTTGCCAGACCCAGCAGAGGTAACAAGGGAGGATTGGGATGTGTTGTCAAGGTACTTTAGTACTACTTTAAGTACTCGGCTTGTCTAGGGAAGTCAAATAAAGCAGATATACTCACCTGATCCTCGGTCCCACTGGGCTATTAGACTGGTCCCCAAGCCTCTTCTCGCCTGGGCTTGCGGCAGTCTAAGGAGCGCTGATGTCATCATATCTAATGCAGGTCCACCGACTTGCATTAGATGTGAAAACATGGACAGACATTCCACAGCCGTAGGGGAGAGGGAAAGGGAGAGAGGTGAGCGCTCACCAAAGATCAGGTGAGTAAAACTGCTTTATTTGACTCCCCTAGACAAAACTTGCAGTTAACCCTTGCAGTGTGGGGGTAGCAGCACTGCAAAGGTAAGTCTTTAAAACTGATGGAGTTCTTCTTTAAATGCTATTGATGACACTATAACATTTCTTAATTTCCTAGTCCTGCTGTGTGTATTAAATCTGGCCATGCACCTGTAGATTTTTCTTGTTCAGTCCTACAGTTTTAAATGAGAAATACAAGTTTTTTGGTAAAAGTTGATTAAACAAATCCCGACAGGGCAACATACTGGTCGAATCAGCAGCATATGGCCAGCTTAAAGGAGAAATATGGGGTGATTGAAAAACACTTATCCTCATAATTCAAGCTGACCTGTGACACTGAAGCTGTCACAGGTCAGCTCTATTGATCGAGAAGTCAGCGAACACATACCGCAGATCGCTGACTTCCTGATCGTCTCCCTGCAGAGTCAGTCACAGCTCCCCGCAGGGATTCCCCCACTCCCCTCTCCATCGCTGACTGGAGGGACAGACGGGGAAGGGGTGGGCACAGCGGGATGGAACTCAACAGTATTGTCAGGATCCATCCCAGCTGCTGCACGGCTCTGCGCTCTTAGCATATAGCGGGCAATAGCCCGCTATATACTGAGTTTTGAGTCACTGGAGAACATTGGTATATGTCCTCCCGTGACCCTGAAGAGAATTATGGCCAAAAAAGGTTGGTCCATAATTCTCCTTTAAGTATATAACTTATCGTTAATGTGCAAAGGCAGCGGTTTTACCATAGGCAGCGGTTTTACCATAGTAACATTTGTTTCAGCTACAACACTGTATATAGTTTAAAAAAAAAAAGTCTGAATACATTGCTACATTGTACATTGCCTAGAAGTGAAAGTAAAAATCATTGGACATTGCAGAAATGTCATAACTTCAATAATAAGTTGTTTTTTAAAAATAAGGATTTAAAAAATGATCGCGTAAGCAACGCAGTAATGAGATGAGGGGAAAAAAATACCTCTTACAAACATATTCTGGAGTCTCAGCCAAGTTCACAGTTCAGAGGAAAGACAGGACATTTTGAAATGCATTTAAAAATAGTATGTGCTACCAGCACTCCCTGACTGCATATTAACAATTTAGAAAACAAATGTCTACAAACGTTGTCACTAAACTAGGGTTACAGAGTTCCGGAAGGTATGCATTGTGCTATGCAGTGTTATAGGGCAGCATTTCTCAACCTTTTTTCAGTCACAGCACCCTTTAAAAAGTAAACAAAATCTTGAGGTGCCCCAATCTAATATGTAAAAAATGACATGGGGTTCCTCCAAAATCCATTCCAAACCCTTATACCAGAAAGGGGTCTGCTATGAATTTTAAGGGGGCGACCCCATGCAAGAACACAATCAGAGTGCCACCTCTCCCATAAGAATCCCCCTTTACACCAGGAGCACCCTTCTTTCACATTAGAGTCCCCTCTCTCACACTAGGGGACCCTCTTCAAATCAGAAGCCCCCCTTCACATCAGAGTCCCTCTCTTTCACATCAGAGTCTCCCTCTTTCACATCAGAGGCATGACCCTGTGTGAAAATTGTGAGGTACCACGGAGGAAGCCAGAAGGCACCCTGGTTGAGAAAGGCTGTTATAGAGAACCTGTCCTATGCACAAAGCAGAAAAACTAAGTTATAGAGAACCTGTACAATGCACAAAGCAGGAAAACAAAGTTATAGAGAACCTGTACAATGCACAAAGCAGGAAAACAAAGTTATAGAGAACCTGTACAATGCACAAAGCAGGAAAACAAAGTTAAAGAGAACCTGTCCTATGCACAAAGCAGGAAAACTAACAATGACATCATACATCAGACACCATAAAGTGAATGCTCCTACCTTGGCAGTGCCAGTGACATCCGCACTCTGCCGCTGGAGCCCCATAAAAAAACAAAAAAACAAACAGATTTCACGTACCAGGTAAATCAGTATTCTGATCTCTACCACCCTATTTCCCACAATGTGTCTAAGTTACTGAGCTAGGCTCAAAATCTATCATGTGTGGGTTCTTTTCAAAATACCAACTTTTAAGATTTGCTCACGTCCCCAGCTCTTTAGAGGTCCATGTCACATAAGTAGCTGGTCTATGACCCTAATGAAACCTTGTGTTCTACAAAGAGGTTGGCAGCTGTATGGTGTAAGTGATAAAAAATAAAAACTTGCAAAATTATAGATAGAAACTATAGATAGATTCTGTGGATCGATAAACATTATCATTCTTTTGACAGCAATTTATTACAGGCATTTATAAAGCGCAGACAATTTTACACAATGTTTTACATACTGGGCATTCACATCAGTCCCTTGCCTTCAGGTTCACACCATTTTCTGGTCCAGATCTGGCCTGGAAAATAGTGTGAACCTGCCCGCCGTTCCAGTGCATTCCAGACCAGATAAAATGAGACAAGCAGTATTTTTCTGGTCTGGTCTGGAACGGACTGCGCTTGTGGGAACAGAGGCCAGAAATAGCATAGGGATACATTAGGATGCATTTTGTGTCCGGAAACAATCTGGTTTGGTCTGGAGATGATCTGGATGCGGTGTGAATGGGCCCTGTAGCACTTACAATCTAAACATCAAATACGATGGTCATGTAGGTTCCAAACACTTAGAGCTCGAAGTTCAATGCAACATTCAGCTTTTACAGCAGATATTTAAATAATTATTTAAAGTGACATTAAACCCTCAGATTTTTTTACATAAACCAATACTGTAATGTGTGCCTTACTGTAATCCATGGTAGTTTCCCTTCTCTTTGCTGCTCTTCCTTTTAAATCCTCATGTCTTCTCATGCTTGGGGAGAACTTCCCTTTGCAGCTGAGTGCCTCTTCCTGTAGTGCTGGCTCAGTTTGTGAACCTACACACAGACACCATGTATCCATTTCAGAGAAGTTCTGCCCAGCATGAGAAGAGTGTCGCCGGGAGTCTGTTTAAACAGCCCCGATGCTGGCGACGTACACTGTACGTCGTCAGTCACGAAGGGGTTAAGCATACCATACCCATGCAGATTCCTGGTGCTAACAGCTCCTCAATATATGAAGCCTATTAACAATTTAAGGCATGTCAGTTGACAGTGTTTGATATTGCATATATCTGCGATGTACCCTTTTAATACAATTGTAAAGTTCCTTTGGCCAGAAATGTTATTTGATGAGTCTGCTACACAAAATATATATGTATACATACTGTATAGTTTACCTTCTTTGTCATGCTGTACATTCTTTTAAACAAGTATATATGTTTGCCATTTTTTTTTTTAAATATTAGTCATGACTGTTTACTCTTACAAGATCCACAAAGTTTATTCTATCTAATATTTATCAATGAGAAATGTTGGAGTACATGATCTGTGAACTATTTTTGTTATTTCTGTGATTTAGTAATTGTACGACAAGGGGTATTCTGCAATTATAAATATTACTATAGGTACACTAATATAAATCCATTGAGAGAATAAAATAAATGCCTGAAGTTGGGTTTTAAGGCAGCCCATTTATTTTGAAAAAACTACCAAACAGACAGAAACAGACCAAAAAACATATATGCAGTTTTTTGAAAATGCAGAACACTACAATGCATGATGCCATGCACTGTAGTGCGCAAACAGAAAAACAGCTACAGAAGAACAGATGGCAAATCTCCCTAATAGGACACAGATGAAAAAAAATACCTGGCATGGGGCTTAAACCTTTTTTTAGAAATGAAAAACAAAAGTTTTGGCTTTAAATATACTTTACGTCTCGCTATCTTAATGGCAAGGCCACCCTGGCAGAAGAAGCGCCCTGCAATGTTATCACAGCATAGCAATAACATATAGCATAGCATAGAATAGCATAGCAATTTTGGCTACTTGAAAGAAATCCATGCTGCCTTTTTTTGTCCGCCCAAGGATTATTTAAACATGTAATAATGTTACTATATTATATTCTGCCAATATGTTTGAACTCAGTCTAAACTCAGCTTGCAAAATGGAACAAAATACTTATTTTCCATTTTATGTCTGTACTGACAGATGTAGATTTTGTATCAGAAATGGCACAAAGCACTGCACACATATTAATCTGTACAAATTAACTTAGCTATGCAAACATTTCAATGCTAAACACTGTACAAAAACACATTATAACTTTAGGATAATGAGTGACCAGCTAGAAAAGACTGGGAAAAACAGGAAAGATTCAGATTACCCAAAGCATAAGTAAAGACACCAGCATAATAACATTATTCAGTAGAGAAACTCCCAGTAGCCAGTGCATGCATTACATTAATCACTTATTAACACAATTGTAAAAGAAGTATGAATTTATCCTACAAATTCAGGACATGTGACCCTGCCTTGTATCTAACTTCAAATTATGTATCCTTTAACCCTTTTGCTGCCAATGCCTTTTTTGCACACATGCTATGATCTACATTTTAGGCCTAAAAATTACTTAAAACCCCAAAAACATTATATACATACATATACACACATTTTATTTTTTTAACTTAATTGCTATTTTACACAGGTGGGGCTCACAAGCACCGTATGCGATAGCATACTAGTGGTGACAAGTACTGTTTAAGGAGACATTAGTGGTCAATCAGACCCCTAGTGTCACCTTGTCACTTGCAGATTGTGCTCCATTATCTTCTTACCCTACTTCTGTAGCCAGACAATGACAGCAGAGGGAGCGGAAGTGCTGCAACCAACGTTGCTTCCGGTCCCATGCAGCAGGGAGGAGATCAGCCATCGGATGTTTGCAGCTCTCCTTCCGCTGACTCCGGTGATGCTGGTCCCAGGCCTGCGGGTGGGGCAGTGGAGCCGAGAAGCAAGGTGGGGGTGCCAGACTAAAAGGGGAGGCGCACTACAGTGGCCCCTGGAAGAGATCAGTTGACTTTACACATGTAAACAGAGTCCTGCTCCCAGCGATGTATGCCATACATCAGTGACCGCAAAAGGGAGACTAAACTCAGGAGGGACACCAAACTTAGGAGTTAAAGCTTAAATTTGCATTTAAGTACCTTAACCATTAACAAAAATGTATCTTATTTATGTATCATTCAGCTGTAGATCCACAAATCATCTCTAAATTGGTGCTTACACTGTCCTTCCTTCTGGAGGTTGGCTACTTTTGTTTCCCATAGTCCCGTTGTGTGTTGTAAAGTAGCCACCGCTCCAAGCATGCTCCCTTGATAAACTATAAATTCAATACAAATCAATAAACTATAGCTGGCTATATATTATGGAACCAGACGAAATTTGCACAGTGGATGCTGATCAGCTGATTGAAATGGGTGCTTTGATTAGCTGATTGAAGGAGCCAGTTGGGAATTCTTTGAAAGAACAGAGCTAGCAGCCAATAAGCAGCCGCTTATACAAATACAAAAGAAACAGCGGGGATTCATTGGTCAATTCTTGTATAGCATTGATGGAGGAATCTGTTCTATTTTTTTTTTTTTGGTTCAGCCACATAAACAGTGTATGGCCACCTTTAAAGTGAGATTTTAGTCCATCACAGGAGTGAGCTTGGAGTGGTAGCTACTTTACCACACACACAGAGACCATGGGGAATAAAAGTAGCCACCCTCCAGAAGGAAGGACAGTGTCAGCATGAATTCAGAAATGATTTGAGAATCTACAGCCGAGTGATGCACAAATAAGATATATTTATGTTATTAGTTAAATGAAAAAAATGTTGGGATCAGCACCAGAAGAAGACACCAACCCCTGAATAATTTCTTAGACAACAATCAAAGAGAATGGGGCTTTTTAGGTGACTTCTAGACAATGCAAAGAGATGCAGCTAGACATAATGACACGTAGCTCATTTCATAATAAATACATATTTAATAATTTAATATAGATAAATATCCTGGTTAGCAAACATTGAATTCATAAAACGTAACACAATCATTTGTGACAGGACCACATTACATGTATAATCAGCATAACACCTCTAGGATCCCGTACAGATTTGGATTTTGCACAATGGCAATAATTAATATTCTTTAACATTGAGTACATTATAACAATGTCCATAGTTAATTGGTCCGGTATATTGTCACATATTTCATATTGTTCCATATTTCCTCTGACAAATCTGTACTTATCCATTCTTCGACGCGTTTCGCCGTAGCTTTATCAAGAAGTTTATAGAGGTGGCCATATATCGGAGATTTCTGATGACGAGCAAATTCGCACCCAGGGGGGCTCCTCCACTCAGCCAGGAGATAAGGAGAGGTAGAGGTGACATGGGGGCACATCTTCTAGGGTATTGCCGCTTTTTAGATATCCCGAGTCAACTTGACTCCCTCCAAATTCACAGGTCCCCCTTCTCCCGAATCATCCACCGCAGACACACACGCCGTCCATAGCGTTAGCGTGTGATGTCTGCTAGCCAGGATATTAATCTATATTAAATTATTAAATATGTATTTATTATGAAATGAGCTACGTGTCATTATGTCTAGCTGCATCTCTTTGCATTGTCTAGAAGTCACCTAAAAAGCCCCATTCTCTTTGATTATTGTCTACAATGTTATTAGTTAAGGTAATAACTATTCAGATGCTCTTATGTATATACTTGTTCTTTCCAATATGCTGTGTACATCAGAAATCGGGTGGCGGTGTCATGACTGACAGCCAAAAGTAGAAGAGATAATCACCAGCACACCAAGGTCCAATGTATCAATACGTGCTTTTATTGATGGCAGATACACATAGAACCCCAAGCAGGAGCAACGTTTCTGAACCTAACAAGGTCCCTTCGTCAGGTAAATAACTGGTTATAACAAATAACTATGTTATTTGCCTGATGAAGAGACCTTGTTAGGTTGCTCATTCTTGGGATGCCAAGTGTATCTGCCGGCAATAAAAGGATGCACTGATGCATTGGACCTTGGTGTGCAGGTGACTGTCTCTTATACTTTTGGATTTGTGTGGCACCATCTGGACGTCATTCCAGCACCCTCCTGCATATTACTGTTGGATTCCGATTTGGTGTTCATTGGGACATTTGCAAATTATAACTGACAGCCAATCACTCTATTTTGTTCTACACAGTGCTGCAATGACAACGCATTGTTAATCACTAGGGGTCAGCAGGGAAAGTGTTAAACACTGTTGCTAAAACTGCTGGAGGTATAACGTTTAGGCCACTAGCAGAGACAACACAAACCTGCAGCAGCCTTCAGTAGTCTCCAGTTTGGGATGAATAGTAAAGGATCCTGACAATACAAGTTCTAAAATGAATGGCTAAAATCTGAGCTTGCTGCTACCTTAAACCCCTACACCTACCTATTGGCCCATCACTATGAAGGACAGCAGGAATGGCCAATAGGACCCCCAAATGCAGCCAAAACGGCAGGCTTTTATAGCCTGCTGAAGGTAAGTGTAGGCAGCTCTAGGTAGGTGATAGTTGTGTGTGGATCATAGCAGCATGCAAACAGAATTACAGGTAAAATTCATCAAATTAATCTGACAGAGATGCAGTAGCTGTTCCCCGAAGTCAGGTAGGGTGTGCCTGACTTGTCAGCCGGCTGCGGGCCGCATGGTACCAGTTCACGGGCCTGGATTGGCCTGTGGACAGTACTTTGGGACCCTTGCCCTAGGCAAAACGAACACTTAACCCTTGCAGTGCAGGGATAGCTCCACTGCAAGGGTATGTTTTTTAAATTCCAGGAGTACTTGATTAAAGTCCAGCCTATGCGACAACAATGGCCCTTTTTATAGATACCCCAAGAGCAGCCACAAAGGCATAGGGAGTGTGCTATTTGCAGGACCACCAGGGGAAAATAAAAGGAAAAAAGCCTGAAAAAAAAAGAAAACTAATGCAGCAACCACATCCAAGGATTAGTAAGCTGCATTATATTACATTTTGATTTTTTGGGGGGGTTTAGATTTGCTTTAACAGTAACTACGGGTCTAACCGAAGACTCGTACTATGGAACATTTTACTTATAGCCCATACCCTTGAGAAAATATTTTCCAGAGAGCTGGTCAAAGATTTCTTGGCCTTATTCTTGAGAATATCCAACTTGAATCGGCCACTGGGAGCAGTGTTCTCCGGGATAGAGCTGTTCGATGCACTCTGAAAAGAAACCATTGAAGAGATTAAGCATTCAAAATAAAAACCTGATGTTTTATTCTTTAATGAGATAACTGGAGCGAGAATGAAGTTTCTATTATCACACTATAACAGCGTCTCTATGTTAATATTATATCTCTCCAATAAGATTACTTTTTTTTTTGCACTGATCATATTACGCTACGTGACAGTAAGAAGAGAAACATACAGTCGACCGGTTGTTATAATCAGTATTACATTTTCTATAACACTGGCCTTCTAAAGATACACTATATCAAAAATAAACATTCAATTCTCCGGAAGCTTTTGTTTTGCTGGGCAAGATACACTTTAGAACATTTTAATTGGCTGTTTAAGTGTACTGTATGTTCATATAGTCATTATACCTCATCTTTTTGTACAATAGCCCGGCAGTTCACTAAAAGTCAAACATTCAGAGCACTATACAGTATTTTATGTACATTTCCCAACTGTAAATTTGCAATTAGAAACATAGGGTTCAGAAGGCCGTACATACTTAAGATTACCCTTCATCATTTCTTGCACTGTATAATTTGTATTATTATTATAATTATTGACCACCATAGAATTTGCCCTCTCCCTCATTGTTTATCCACTTTGCCTTCTGTAGCTTATTTACGCTTCTGTTGAAAATTGCATAAAAACCCCATTATACTGTAAACATGCTTAATTTTTAAGCAAACAAGTGTTGCTTCTGTGGTCTAAGGTCCTGTGAGTTATCATGTCCAATACACTGTACTGGACGCAATGATGTAGAGGGACATTCCATCACTGCAGTGGAGGGGGGAGGCTGCAGGCAGCTGTCTAGCAGCCAGTCAGCTCAGAGCCATAGATGAAAACAAGCACTTAACCTTAACCCTAAAGGTGGCCATACACCTTACGATTATCGGACGAAACTTTTCGTCCGATGATCGAACCGTCGTACGACGGCCCCATCCTGCCCCGATTATCGAAAGGTTCATCAGCGGTAGTTAAAAAAAAACACCTGGACGACTTGCGGTAATTGACCGCAATTATTTTCGTTTGCGCATGCGCAGTGTTAATAGTACGACTTTTGACGAACGGAAACGCCACCAACCATGCGAACATCATACGATCGACCAAAGTTTTCAAACATGCTTGACCGTCAAAAGTCATACGATTGTACAGTACTATCGGTCGGGCACTCTATTCACACGTTACGATTGTCGTACGAAAAGTCAATCGCATACGATAATCGTAAGGTCTATGGGCACCTTTACAATGGGGCTGTCCACGCACTGCAAAGATTATTTCTGCCCAGAGTTCTTCTTTAACATTTTTCCTACCCTTCCCACTTGATCTACCTCCTAAAATTAAGCCTCAACACTACCCATTAACACTGAAAATGATTCCCCAGTTTAACCCTTAAAATGATCCCTTGATAGCTGTAAAACACATTCCTAAAAAGTGAAACCTGTACAAATACCATAATCCAAACACTTAAAGCCCACTTTGTTGTTTTGGATAGTAATGGTTAGAACCCCAGGGAGAGAGAGGAAATCTCCCCACAGGGGACAAGACAGCAACGGAATCACAATTTCTAGTAGAGTTGGCTAGGAACCTCTGGCAAGATTTTATTCTTGTACGTGTCTCAGTTCTCAAGATAGACACAAAATGTCACCAGCATCTTGCCAGCACCAGCCAGGTTCCAAGCTTGTTATAATATGCGTCAATAAAAGACGTTTGCTTTGACACTTACCCCTCAGTGTGTTGGTGACATCTTGTCTCCACTGATCTCAGCGGCGCCATCAGCAGTCATTTCAGCACTCAACCTAAGGTGTTTTACAGTGTGACGGGACACCATTTGGACTCAATATTCAGGATTTCCCTTAACAGCCATGTAAGGTGGCAGATGTCAGACAGAACAGGATGGGAGAGTTTTCTCAACAGGGAATTTTAAACCTCACAAAGATTCCTTCTTTTCAAAAGTTAAAGTATATCTAAAGCTAAAAATTTGCTTCCTGTCCTGTAGACTCGACAAGAGGTGAGAGGACAATGTGAGGGAAATCTCCTCTAAGAGGTGAGAGGTGTGCTGTAGATTCAACACGAGGTGAGGGGACAATGCGAGGGGAATTCCCTCTAAGGCCTGGTTCACACCTGGGCATTTTACAGCGCGTTCCTACGTGCTGTAAAACGCTCAACATGTGAAAACCAATGATTGTCTATGGGCATGGTTCCCACCTGGGCGTTTTACAGCGCGTAGGAACGCGCTGCACAACGCCCTACGCCCAAATAAGTACAGCAGCTTCTTTGGGGCATATTTGCCGCGCGTATCCATTGGGATACAGCGGTATAGCCCTCGGAAATGCCATCACCATTCTATCCAAAACCAAAAAAAAGGTTTCATACTTTAAAAATAAATGCAAAAAGTTCCATCTTAAAAGGAGAACTATGGGGTTAAGGCTTTCCCCCATAGCTCTCCTTAGAGAGCTACTAGCGTCCTCCCGTAACCCTAAGCTCAGTATACCGCGAGCTACAACTCGCGGTATACTGAGACGCCACAGTATACCGCAAGCTACTGCTCGCGGTATACTGAGACGCCGCAGCTGAAGCGGATCCCGACAATTGTGCCGGGATCCGCCCAGCTGCGTGAGTGACAGCTAGCTCTGCCTATCTAGAGGCAGAGCCAGCTGTACCCGCCCCCTCCCCCCGTCCGACCTGCCAGTCAGCGCTGGCGGATCGGTGCGGGGAGGGGGGAATCCAGCCCCTCCCCTGACACAGCAGGGAGCCGTGACAGGATCGAGAGGTGAGCGAACGCCGGTATGTGTTCGCTCACCTCCTGATCTACTGAGCCGACCTGTGACAGTCTCATTGTCACAGGTCGGGTAGAACTATGAGGTGAGTGAAAAGCACTCACCTCACAGTTCTCCTTTTAACAAAATAATGTTTTAAACATAACTCATTGAAAAGGCCACTGAATGTAAATGATTATATTTACTTTTAGAGGATCTGCTAATTTTAGATTGGTAAATGTAAACTATATATTGACAGGCTTAGAACAATGGGTAGTGAGGCATCTGCTCTTTCTCGAACCTCTCAAACCAGCTACTCCAGGATCTGCAGTGATGTGGTAACAAGCTTGTTTCCCTAGTAGGAAACAAGCTTGTAGTAGGGATTGAAGCCCATGGCACTGAAATTTTACAAACTGGAAAATCTATGTGCAGTAATTAGCATCCCCAGCAATTGGTGTTATTTGTATTTCCCAATGGCTACCACAAGCAGTGCCCAAAGAAAGAATAAGAAATAGGGATGCACCGATACTAGTATCATTATCGGTGCCGATACCGAGTATTGCTCCAATACTTACCCCGATACTGGAACTTCGGGTCAGAGGGAGTTTCCCTCTGGCCGGCAGTGATGCAAGGGAGCATGGAGCCGGCTTCCGGCCAATTAGCATGCCAGGCGGCGGGTGACCCGCCACCCGACTTCCTGAGTGGCTAGGAAGCCGGCTTCACTTGTTGCTAGCAGCCTGGCTTCCTGACCAGGAACCCGGGTGGCACATCAAGACCGGCTTTCTAATTGGTCAGGAAGCCAGGCTGCCTAGCAACAAGTGAAGCCAGCTTCGTCGCCAATCCTGATAAGCCGGGCCAACGGTACCCGGGGATGCCGGTATTGATATTCGTTGTCGGCGAGTACCGAAAAAAATATCAGTACTTGTACTTGATGTCAAAAAACTGGTATCGGTGCATCCCTAATAAGAAATAAGTATGTTTTATGTAAAGCAGATGTTAGGAAGGATAATTTCTTATGTAGATGGACTTACTGTTCATTAAAGGACTATACTTCCTTTGCCAAGGCTTCTTTAGCCTCAAATAGCTGCAGGATGCACAGCACCAAAATGACAGTTATATTAAATTCTGCAAAAGTTTTTTTGCATATTTTGAAGGATATTAGTTTCAAGTTGCATAAATTATCATTGAATGTTTAGGTAGCAGGTTTAATCTAATACATTTTTCTATGACCTTATGACCTAGTATAAAGGAGGTGAATCTTTTTTTTTTTTCTCACTAGATTTGCTGAAAAGGGCTATGTAATGCATATGCAGCTTCTATAACAATGCCTAAAATGACAGAATACTATTTAAAACTCACAAACTTCCTATGGCAACTTTTTGTAACCAATGATTACTACATTGCAGTGAAAACAGATAGCAGGCCACTGCTTCTAATTGATTCTATTTCTGCATTTTGGACATTGATGTAGAGCTTTAGGTCCATATATATATCTTTTCTTTAAGGTTATATGTCTTAATGTCCAAGGTATATAGATGCAGATAGTTTTCTCATTTGCGCCAGGAGCAAAACCATGAAACGAATTAGATGTCATCTAACAGCAAGCAAATTAAAACCATTTAATGCATCTTATAACATTCACAAAATTCAGAGCCAGAACTGACCCTTCCTCCTCACGGATCAAGTCAGGAGCTCAGCTCTAATGAAGTGTGAGAACGGCCAGACTTTGCAGCCTTAGGCACAATTTCAGTCTAATTTATGAGAGATGCAACTCAGAAATGGGAAACATTTAGCATACAAACCAGGCAAATGTACAGTAGCATGAAGGCATATCATTCTCCACATCAGAAAGCAAAAATCCACTTTGAACTATAATGTCCCAGGACTTTGAAGAGAATGCAGAAATATATTTTACATTAAAATGAAAGTTGTGTCAGAAAGGAACATGACTACTGTACATACGTCAGTAAAGATTAGAGATGGTCATTGGGGTATAATGTATTAGTTATGGTTGCTCCTGATGGGTGAATCACGTTCATACACTAATATACCTTAGTTGGATACACCAAATGGCAAATCTGCTGTTCCAAGTTGTCCATATTCTGTTTAAAATGTTGGTAGTTACAGCAAGGCTACAGATATAGGACAGACTGGGTGTTTGAACAAATTCAGAAAATTCTGTGTCTTCTCATTACAGAGACAGAGATATCAGTAATCTAAAGCAATACTAGGTGGCCATGTATCGTAAGGCTTTTCTCAATCAGCCCATATAATAGCATAGATGGAGGAATCTCCCCTTCTGGCGATTTTGACCTGCTGGAACCAGTTGTCAGAATACCCAAACGGTGACTGCATCTGACTGGCTGTAGTCATTGTTGGGCCAACAATTTTCTACCCAGTCAGCCGGGCCATCCACAGATTGCATTTTGGGCAATTCTGCAGGAAATGGCTGAAGTTCAATCTATGTATGGAGAGCTTAACATTTTATATAGTGAACAGAATTTTTTATATATAGACTAAACAGCTTGCTGACAGATTATCTACTGAAACAAGCAGCATTTGAGTAACTAGAGACTGAACGATTGCTGTACATAACATTTTTACAGTTCTTCCAGCAAAGTATATCTAAAGCCAAAACTTCGCTTCCTGTCCTGTAGGCTCTACAAGAGGTGAGAGGACAATGTGAGGGGAATCCCCTCTGAGAGGTGAGAGGTGTCCTGTAGACTCAACAAGAGGTGAGTGGACAATGTGAGGGGAATCCCCTCTGAGAGGTGAGAGGTGTCCTGTAGACTCAACAAGAGGTGAGAGGACAATGTCAGGGGAATCCCCTCTGAGAGGTGTCCTGTAGACTCAACAAGAGGTGAGAGGACAATGTGAGGAGAATCCCCTCTAAGAGGTGAGAGGTGTCCTGTAGACTCAACAAGAGTTGAGAGGACAATGTGAGGGGAATCCCCTCTAAGAGGTGAGAGGTGTTCTGTAGACTCAACAAGAGGTGAGTGGACAATGTGAGGGGAATCCCCTCTGAGAGGTGAGAGGTGTCCTGTAGACTCAACAAGAGGTGAGAGGACAATGTGAGGGGAATCCCCTCTGAGAGGTGTCCTGTAGACTCAACAAGAGGTGAGAGGACAATGTGAGGAGAATCCCCTCTAAGAGGTGAGAGGTGTCCTGTAGACTCAACAAGAGTTGAGAGGACAATGTGAGGGGAATCCCCTCTAAGAGGTGAGAGGTGTTCTGTAGACTCAACAAGAGTTGAGAGGACAATGTGAGGGTTGCAGATTTTACAGTTGCTAGCCTATGGCACCCTATTACCGTATGGTGTCCTTAAAACAAAAAGCACACGTAAAAGCTGTCTGAAACTGCATTTAGGCTTGGTTCATATTATTTAGTCAAACATTTGCCCAACTCGCTAAACGTTGCCCCTCCATGTCCAGAAAAAATGCACTATTCCAAAATATTAGTAACGTTAGAAGACATGCATTTGTGCATATAATTTCAACAATCTGTGTTGTGTTCAAATGAAAATAATTGAATTCAACAATCTAATACAAGGATTCCAGATAGTAATGTAGTTTTTCATCAACCTTTCCCTGTGTGCCTCTGAGTAGGGCTAACTGCTTGCCTGTCTAAGCCACTACTGCATTGAGTACTTATCACTTAGCATATCTTAACAGCTGGCATCAATACCATGAACTTCAGCAAGATCATATAACTATGAGCTTCATTATTTATCTTGAATACATGATTTACCGTCTGCAGTTCTCCAATATGAACATGCGTTTTCTGCTTGGTCTCACACAACTGTCTAAGATGAAGTATGACAAGTTCATTCTCTTCCTGATCGCTTGTAGCTTTCATTTTCTGAAACAGGTAATATTGGAGACATGGTTAGAAACATGGTTATACACTCAGCATGCTCATCTACATTTTGTATATACATAACAAAGCAATTTATTCTGACTTGCAAACATGACTAAACAATTCACTTCAGTGGTCATTATTAAGCACAATCTGCAGTGGCTAACATCTATTGGAGAGAACCAATAAAGATTATGAATTAATTGTGAGCTAGGGCCAGCACTGGTAAATCCCCTCTAAGAAATGAAAGATTAACCGATTTTATGAACAATTTATTGTTGCTGGTAATACAATTGGTAATCTGTTGACTTCAATAAGATCAATCTATACTCTAAGATACTAACAACTAAATGCATCATTATTTGGAAAAAGGGGCAAAACAGTAATGACATCTTAACTTGCAACAAAAATATTATTAGCATTTATTCCTTTTGTGATTGGCATTTAACTATGCATAGTTTGTCAAGAAGTTGGAAAATGGTTGTGTGCATTCATAAACAATCAAAGCCTGGAGGTGCTTAACCCCTCAATGGACTAAGAGTTGTAATCAGTGTTTGAACCAGTCATTTTAAATGTACATCATAAACAAGTCTAACAAAAACAAAACAAAAAAAACTACCTGGACACGCTCAAAAATGTCAGCTTGTTCATTGTCTGAGAGCAAAGACAGTTGTCGCTGTATTATCAGTTTGGCCCTTGGAGGGTACAGCCCTAAAAAAATCAAAAGGTAACATTTTCAGTTAGGTAAGAAAAAGAAAAGACTAATTTCTACAATAAAATATAAGTAAAGCGAAGCATGTTGTGACTTGAGCTGGCCATACACCTATACATTTCCTATAGCTTTTTTTCTATCAGCCTATGGTCATATGGAAAAAGTGCAACAGATTCCTCCATCTACGCTAAACTGTGTGGATGGAGGAATCTCCCGCTGGGCCAAGTATCAGTATCTTGCTAGTCGGCCCCGCTGGCTCTCAAAATACCTAAACAATGCCTGCATCCAATCAGATTGTTTAGGTATTTTGAGATCCAGTGGGGCTGACTAGCAAGATACTGAAGCTTGGCCCAGTGGGAGATTCCTCCATCCACACAGTTTAGCGTAGATGGAGGATTCTGTTGCATTTTTTTCCATCTGACCATAGGCTGATAGAAAAAAAAATATATATATAAAAACTATAGGTCTATGGCCAGCTTAAGGGTACATACAGACTATGTGATTTAGGATTCCTGCGGCAGGAACGTTCAAAGTCCTGTGGCAGGAATCCCAAAGCTCCCAATAGATGCAGCCACTGTCGCCCATTCAAGTTAATGACTGCTGACAGTAGCCGCACAATAGATGTGTCCAGGGACAGTGATCCATTCCAAGATGCATGTCATCGTATCACATACAATTACATGTGGACTGCCGATTTTAAGATGTGGCCACCGTCACCCAGTAATTAACTTGAACATATGATGGCGGCCCCATCTAAGCGGGAGATTTGGGATTCCTGACGCAGCATCCCAAATCACATAGTGTTAATGAGACATAAGGCTTTATAGACTCAAATGCTAGTATTAGTGTGCACCTTTCTGTTAGACATGTTCTTCTTCAATGATTACCACAAATGAATTAATAATCATGTATGTTGTTAACATCACCATGGTGTGTTATAATGCAGTTAAAAACAAATTTTCCTTCTTTGTTTTGTGCCGTAATGTATCTTTCAGGGAAGTAAACAAATAAAGAATAGCATTCCTTCTGCATGTGAAAGGATGTCCTCATATTAAAGCATATTAAATACCGATGCAGGCATTAACACCATGAAAACACACATCAGTTTTTCTACTTTTGCATTCTAAAATGATAATCCACCAACAAACTGCTAAAAATGGCTTTTTGGGAACAATGGATATAAACTGCAGTTATTTAAAAGCAAGAAACTCCTGGCTGCAGTGGACATTGTTTAGGCCTTATAAATACACCTTATCAGAGCTCACATCACACATGATTCTGCAGACATTCAATCTATATACATGTTAAATCAACAAACATTCATATCTAAAATACTGTATGGTAACATAAAAGTATATACTTAGCAATAAAAAGAATAAGTAACTTATGGAAACCAATAAAAAAATGTTTTTAAAAAGGATACAATTCAGACATCTAAAATGGTTACTATTGATTAATACACCTTTAACCTGCTGGTAAAACAGGCATATAACCTATTTAAAAAAATGATTTCTGTTTGACCTTTACAGGACATTTATACCTATTTAATAAAATGTAAAGTGGATATTTCCAGGTTAAAGCATACTGTATCTGAACCCCAAGACAAAAATGTAATACATTGTAGATTAGCAGTCCTTAGATGTGGTGGCTGCATTAGTTTTATTCATTAAGGATTTTGGATCTTTGCTATTTGCAACTTCCTATCAGTTAAGTCTCCAAAAGGTAGGTAAACATTTGACCCATATCGAGGTATCTCTGTTAATGTAGACTGAAGCATCTACATTGGGTACAGACCACCGATAAGTGAATCCTTTCTCAAAGATAAAATGCTCTGCCACAGTCTCAGATGGGGTCCATGACCCTTCATTGTGTTTCCAGTCTGCATAATGTAGATCACTGAAGCATCCACATTGGGCACAGACCACCTATTAGTGAATCTCTTCTTATAGGGAAAATGCTCTGGCACAGTATCAGATGGGGCCAAGGACCCTTTAGGGTTTTTTCAGTTCACATAGAGAAAGTCTTCAAACAGAAGGTGAAGTGGGAAGGTCTTAGCAGCCATAAGAACCACAGAGCCTGTAATTGTAGGCTTAGCCTCCAACTGCAGGGTGCACTGCATCAATATACTTTAGCTTGAAACAACCCCTTGTATATGTAAGGTCAACTACAGGAGGCTGTGGTGACTCAAAAAGAGCCTCCCCCCACATTTATGAATCATAACCAGGACTGCAGACCTAGTTTGACTCACAGTCTCAAGAGGGTCAGCGATAAGACTGTGGAGGGCGCAGGAGCCTGCTAAAAACGTATAGACAGAATGGTCCAGTGGCTGGGCAGAAACAGTTAGGAAATCCTTAGTAGGCATAGAAGTTCCCTTGGCCATGGAAGAGGCCCCAGGCTCACCTAATGGGGCTGAAACAGACTAAGATTAAGACACTATAACTGTAGGGTTGTATCCAGCTTGGGATACTAGGTAAATGCCCCAAGAACCATTAGGTAATCAGAGGGGGTGCACGGGGCAGTGATACAGGAGCTGCCCGTGCACCCCCTTTCCTAACCGACTGTCACTACTATTGCTGGGATTTGTTGTATTGCTCTATAGCTGGTGGTATTCTGCATTGTGCTGTATAATGTACTATTGCTGGGTTTTGGAGTCCTCTATAGCCGGTGCCATTCTGCATGCATTGCTGTATAATTTTACACTTTTCCTTTCACTATATTGTACACCACACTTTTTCTTTTTTACTTCCACCGCTCCAAGTTTGCTCCTGTGATGGACTACAATCTCAGTACAAACTAGTATTCCCATCACTGGAGCCATTTTTAAAAACGTATTTTATCCGATTAACCGATTAATCGAACTTAATAATCGGCTAACTAATCGATTTTTAAAATAATCGTTAGCTGCAGCTCTATTTCACTCCATCACGTTTAGAACAAACACCACGGCCAAGACCAGATGCAGCTTCCCTACCAGCCCTCCGGCACACACAGCACCCAGTCTATATCTGCTCTCTGCTTCAGCCCTTGACCCCCGGTCTCACCAATATACTTGATGATACCATTCCCAGCCGCCATGGCCAAATCCAAGGACATGTCCTGTTTCACCCCTACTCCTTCACCTGGAGACCACCGCAAATTGAACAATATTACATAACACTTCCGGCATCGCTAGAATCGCTACCACGCCCGGACTCCTGACACCACAAGTACGTTCCTCACTTTCTGAAATTTTTTTATTCATATCACACCATTTATATATTTTTGGATTTGCGCTCTTAGTGCATTATCCAGAAGCTGTGCTGCAGCTCTTGACCCAGAGAGCACTCTGCAGATAACACCGTACACAGGTGTCTGGAAAGGGCCATAATGCAAGGCCCAGTGCCCAAAAGGTCACATTCTAGGTTAGCCTTGCCAAAATCAGATGCCTACTCACAGAGTGAGTCTTTAGAAGCAGGGTCACTCCTTGGGCTGTGCCATGGCTCTGGACCCAGAAAATGCTCCTCAGCTAACTTAACTAGTACACCCAAGTCTAGAATCACAACAGTACAGAGCCCAGTGCCTGAAGGTCAGACTCCAGACTAGCCCCGCAATCTTCCAGTCCAGCGGGATGTGGGTATGGCCTCCAAAGCTCAGAAATCTATCCACTAATGGCCTTTCGAACAAAAATCGAACAGTTGATGGGAGAACAATTTTTTTTTTAACTGTAATCCCGCTCAAATTTTCTAGAAGGGTCAGGCTGGAAAACTTTTTTAGAGTCGAACGAAAATCGATGGATTAGTGGCATTTTCAAAGGAAAAAAATTGCATCAAGAACATTGCACAAACGAAAATCCGTTCTGTCAATTGACAAAATTCGGTGAGTTGGTATGGCTAACGAACGATTATTGAAATTGACATTGGTCTTTGCTTGATGAGCTATCTGAGCTAGAATCGAAAGAGGAGTCTTGGCAGCAATGAAAATTTCCGATCGAACATCTGTAAGTGTATGATCAGCTTTACGGAGTAAACCTGCAGGAGTTCATATCAGTGGATTCAAATCTTTTTGCCCTCTGCAGAAGCAAAAGAACTTCCCTCTAAGGTTTTACATAAGCATGACCTTATCTATGAACCCATTATACCAACACACAGCATCTCCCAACCACAGCTAATAAAAAGAAAATAGCATTTTGCTAGAGCCACATGTGATCTGAATATACAGTATGTAGATAGTGGGTTTAATCTGTATTCAGGAAGACCAAAAATCACTTGAACATTTCAATCAGGAATGTGATACAGGCACATATAGAATACCCAATTTATCAACTGGAAAGTGGTAGGTGATTTTCTTTTGAAGTGGAGCTGAAATTAAAAGTGAAGATTTGCTATGTTATAAGGAACATCTAGAAGTGCTGTGTTTAAGCAGTACCCTGAAAAATAGCAGTGTATTTCCTTATATGTGTGACTCCTGTGCCTACAGCCTCATAGCTGTATATCTGCAGTGTAATTCTAAGGCACTGCTACCTTTGACTGTAAAGATCTAGAGTGAGATTTGGTGATGCTCACTGTTCTCCTTGCATGGAAGCTCCGACATGAAGAAATAAAGTCCTGCCCCTACAAAGATGGCAGCCTCCATATAGAGACAGTGCAACAACAAAGCCTGGTAAGTAAGTGATAGGGAAAGAACAGCTGCAGGGAGAGCACTATTGTTTTTATTGGGCACAGCTTCCAAGGTTCAGTTCCTCTTTAACTAGAAGGCAGCTTTTAAAGATAATGGAGCAGACAAAATCTGGTGCAGCTGTGTATGGCAACTAGTCAGCTTTTAGCTTTCATTTTCAGATCTTAACTGGACAAACTGAATAGAGAAGCTGATAGGTTGCCATGGGCAACTGCTCTAAATTTTGTCTGCTCCAGGTTTGATAAATTCCCCTCACTGTATTTTTAACAAGAAAAAGGGATCACTACCAAATCATAAGTTAAATATATCAGTGACTTGCATGAACAAGTATAAAAACTTTACTAAACGTTTATGTCTGGGAAAAATAAAACAAAAATATTCAGTGCATCTCTGCAGTACCTGCACATTTTCCTGTGTTTTATCCCTTTAAAATTTGTATGAGTACAGAATAATACCGAGATAATAATACCGTACAGAAAATCCAGAGTGCTCCTAAATTCACATTTGAGCTGACAACACATTGGGGTTGATTTACTAACCTTATAAACACACCACGAACGTGTATACACCTCTGCAGTGTGTTCCCTCCCAGCATGATCTATGGGTGGAATCTAAACACCTTTGTAGTGTGTACACACCCAGCAGGTGTGTTGTGCAAAGCCCTGAAGGAATTCCAAGGTGATGTTGGGTAAATTAGCTCTATGTTGTGATGCTTGCGTTGATGAATGCAGGAATGTAAATGCATGAGCTAACCATTTTTGTCTAAACTGTGAAGCAGCATTATATATGCATCATGTGCATGATTTTTCCATATATGGCATTAGTGGAAATATGCTTTTAGAGACTTTTTGGTTGATAAATACGTTTTGCTGTGTGAAAATCACACACACCTGGTGTGTGTGTGTGTTTAGGTTAGTAAATCACCCCCATTGCCTCTGAAGCACTAAAATCCTAAACAGCAATGTCAGCCTGGCCCAGTCCTCCCTTCTGGCAACAGAACATCTCCACTCATCTTCATAACATTGGAGGTAGGTGTTCTGTACCTGTAGCGTTTATAGAGACAAAACATGAGGGGAATGTTTTGAAGAGGCGTAATGAATATGTTTGCTTTTTTATTTTTCCCCAGACATACACTTTAAGGACACCCTGTTACTGTGCCTGTTTGGGGCAAATTGATAGGGTCTCTTTAAGGCCTCATTCACACTGCCGCACGTATACGCGCGTACGTGCGTATTGTACCATATGCAACCTATGCAAATAAATGGCTCCATACACACAGCCGCGTATAGAGCCATATATTTGCATAGCGTATATATGCCCAAAAACAGAATGGAACAGAGATGCGTCCGGGCAGCGTATTTCTGCGTATTTACGCGCATATACACGTGTTTACACGCATGTACGCGCGTACATGCGTACAGCACATTAAAAATTCCATTACGAGTGATGCATTCTGGGATTGCATATAGTGCACGCATATATGCTCATATATGCGTGCGCATATGCACGTATATACGCGCATAGACGCATATATACGCAATATACAATTTTGCTTGCGTTGTGTGTGAATGAGGCCTAAAGCTTACCCGCTGACCAAGTTGAAACTGATCTTCACAGCACTCCCCTGCCATTCCTTCTTATTTTGCAGCTGCTGCAAATTACCTAGTGCTTTTAGGTATTGGACAGTAAGTGACCCTGTATGCGCCAACACCTGACATTTTTCAGTATTTGGCTGCAGCCTGCAGTGGTGGAGGAAGGCGTGGTGAGGGAGCACTGTGAAAGTAACCTGGTCTGGGGTAGGCTTTAAAGGGACCGTGTCACTTTGCCCTAAATGGGAAAAGTGACAGGGCCTCTTTAAGCAAAATCATTGTTTTAAGAGTATTTGAATCTCTAAGCAACCAATAAATATGTACAAGTAAGCAGTCCAATCACTTTGAAACTGAATACAAACAAAAGACTTTCCTTTCTAATACAAAAGTGGAAAAATGTGAACTCAAAGTCATACCTTCAATTCGCTCACACAGTTTGTGCAGAGCGTGCATGGGACAGGCCTCACATAGCTTGATTTGTGTCTTGGCATTTTGGAGTGCAGCAGCAGTGCTAAAAGCTTGCTTCAATGTCAGCATGATTTCATCCACCTGATGGACAACACAATGAATAGAATTCAGGAAAATAAATATAGTAAAGTGTATGTATAGGCAAAAGTTTTTTTAGCTTAGAATAGAATAGGTAAAGGTCAAAACCCATCAGTATGTTTTGCTGGTTGTGTACCACCAGGGAAATTTCCCTTTATTTCCTGTCTCAAAGACTCAAAAGGAAGTTAGAAAAAAATCTCAAAACGTGAGGGGAATTCCCCTTTTAGAGAGGTTTCCCTAGAACAAATGTCCCCATTGGAAGATCTCCACTTTCTTCTTGTTCTGGGGACAACCCTAACATTTTGCATTTCTCCTTACTTTCCCTCTTGGCGACAAGGGTCTAACCCTTCCCCATTGTATCTAAAACGAAAAAAAGTTTTGACCAGAGATACACTTTAATAACCTGTCTTCACACACACAACTGAAGGGTGAAATGAGACTTGCAGTGGGAAATTAAAACAAGCATTACTTGGAAGGGTGTACAATGAAAAGTTATAAGTGCAGTGATGTACATATAGGGCTTCATTTATAAAAGGTCCACCTGGCGTATAGCTGGGCAGATACACTCGCAAGGCACTAGATGGCGCTGACAAGTATTGGAAATTGTTATACTCATCAGCACCATTAGGCTTTATAAATTAAGCCCTAATAGTTTAAAGGGGAAGGAGAAGGCAGGGTAAATTTTTTTAGTTTTGGATAGGGTGGGGAAGGGTTAGACACTCTATCAAGTTTGTATGGCTATATGCCAGTAGGGAGATTTATCCCTCTATTTGTACTGGTGAGGAGTGAGGAGAAATGCAACATTTTAGAGTTGTCCCCAGAGCAAGAGGTCAGGGGAAATGTTTCAATAGGGAAACTTGTTCAGGGAAAACTCCGTAAAAAGGAATTCCTTTGGGAGATTTTCCTCTCACTTCCTGTTGAGTCTCAGGTGTGTAGAGCCTGCAGAATTGTGGGTTGTAAAAGTGTCTCTACCTATATTCTATGTGATCATATAGTACAGGGGAATTGTTGCTTTAAGTTAGTTCATAGCTGTTTGGTTGTAGTTATCCTATAAATATGCATTGTCTGCTGAGCCTTCCATTTGGAAAAATGTTATTATTTTAATTGACAGTGGCTGCAAAACACATCACTCCCACATTCACTTGTACAGAAAATCCTTTAATCATGGCAGCTTAGAGGTTTAAACTGAGTCTTTGTGACACAGATGAGCAGCATGATATATTTCTGCTAAGTGACATATTGTCCTTAGATGCACAAGGGATTTACACGATAAAAGGCAATTTGTTTCAGACTGAGAAATTCCCAAAGCAATGAATATCTTGCATCTATACATGTATATCTATATACAGTCTATGCAGCTTAACTAAAATGGGCCTAAATGTCTAAAGGGGCAAATTTATTTTTGGGCATCATGAATTTAGTTCCTTGACTAACAATAATGTGATATACACCGATCAGCCATACTATGACCACCCGCCTAATATTGAGTAGGACCCCATTTAGCCGCCAAAACAGCCCTGACCCATAGAGGCATGGACTCCACTAGACCTCTGAAGGAATGCTGTGGTATCTGGCACCAAGCCATCAGTAACAGACCCTTTAAATCCTGTACGTTGTGAGGTGGGACCTCCATGGATTGGACTTTATTTTTTTTACAGCACATCCAAAAGATGCTCAATTGGATTCAGATCTGGAGAATTTGAAGGCCTAGTCAACACCTCAAGCTCATTGTTGTGTTCCTCAAACCATTCCTAAGCCATTTTTGCAGTGTGGCACAGCAGAGTATCCTGCTGAAAGAGGCCACTGCCATCAGGGAATAACATTTCCAAGAAGGGGTGTACTTGGTCAGCAACAACGTTTAAGTAGGCGGTGTGTGTCAAAGCAACAGCCACATGAATGGCAGGACCCAAAGTTTACCAGAACATTGCCCCCAAAAATCACACTGCCTCCACCAGCTTGCCTTCTCCAGGTGCCATCTCTTTCCCAGATAAGCAACCCGCCTCCGGACCCCTGGTGAGACGCCACACAACCATTCCCAACACCCCGTACAGCCCTGGTGAGATGCCACAGAGACCACCTAACATTCTGTAACAAGCCTACCATAGAGCGTGCACAGCCCACCTAAGTCCCTGCACAGCCCACCGCAGAGCCCGCACAGCCCACCACAGAGCCTAAAATCATTAGTCTGTATTGTTTTAGAAAAAAACTGTCACATGACACTAAAAAAAAGGTATTGGTAATTGGTATCGGCAAGTACTTGAGGAAAAGTACCAGTACTTGGTCTGGAAAAAATGGTATTGGTGCATCACTAGTCAAAATGATCAGTGTATAGGCTATGTGTCAAATCACAAATAGAAAAAAACTTTGAATAAATAATGCCAATGGCTTTACAAATGCTATTTTCTTGTTGCATTTCCACAGTCCTGATATGTGACATTGACTATCCAGAAATTGGGAATAACTGATCATAATCTGCACATAGCTAAGCAAGGATTTAGTCAACCAGAAATAACAATGAGCAATAACATAAAGAACTATCATTATAGACCTAAACTTATCTAGTTACATCTAGGGATGTCTATTATCAATACACCAAATAATGTTTCACCATTCTGGCTATGCAGTGTGGCAGATGTGTATAGATCACAAGACTGGCTGAACAGAATTATAAGTCAGGTAAAAAAAACTTACTGCACATTTTTTTTTTTTTTTTAACATTGGACTAATATGTCACTCCAAGTATAGATTTTTTTTGTCTGTTCAGAGAGTTAAGGAGATCTGCCAGATTCACTAAGCAGAGCAAGCAAGTATATCTGCTCCTGTCACAAAAGATAGTGATGTATTCTGCTCACACATAAACACAAATGATGTACTGCCAAAACAAATTATTTGCCAGTGTTTTGCATGGTGTAGTAGGAATTCTGTGCCTAGTTAAAAAGACTAAACACTTTCCATAAAAACTATCCTGGCCATTGTAATAAAATATCATGATCATGCCACAACCCCATTTGTAAGATATGCAACTTATATTCTATGCATTTCACTTCAAGCATCTCCTAAAGCCTCACTCTGGAAACAAATGATAATTTACACACCACATTGCGTGTGGAAATTATCATTAAAAAACTGTCAGGACTATTCAAATAAGGGTGAAGAGTTTGGAGGCAGGAGAAGAGAACAATCTAGGACAACATAGCTGAACTGGAAAGTGAGCTGAATTGGAGAGTTTTTCCAAATCAGCTACGTTGGCCTAGATCAGTGGTGGCGAACCTTGGCACTCCAGCTGTGCCAAAACTACAAATCCCAACATGCATCTGCCTCTGTGAGTTATGTCTGTGGCTGTCAGAGCCTTGCAATGCCTCATGGGACTTGTAGTTCCAAAACAGCTGGAGTGCCAAGGTTCGCCACCACTGGCCTAGATTGTTCACTTCTCCTGCCTTTTACAAACTCTTTTTTTTATAAATTCTTTATTTTAGATTTTAAATACCTTGACGGTGTTCACAAAAAAGATAAACAAGTGCTTGAATAACAAATAGTTGCTCGTTCAAGCGATCATAGAGAGAGTAATTCAAATGCATTGTGATGTATATAAATAAACAAATAAAATATTTAAAGCATTTAGGAGGGGAAAAAAAAAAGTGGAGAAAGAAAGGGAGAAAAAAAAAAAGGGGAAGATATTCCCCCTGCTCAGTTGGTCAGTGACCCATAAATATCTCAGAAGGGGGACATGTAAGTGTTCAAGTGCTTATGAGAGCAACTGTGAATTCCAGGGAGGTGTGTAGGAAAAGGAAGTCCTGATGTTATGTGCAGGGGATGCAGTGGTTTATGGTAAGCTTACACACAGCGTTTTTATAATTTACACACACAGTGTGTTGTGCAAATTAGCATTTTTGCCAGAGTGTGGCTTTAACATGCAACACAAAACCTGACATTAAGTAGCATGTTTTGTTCTGTGAGTTTTAGCTAATTTGTGGTTACTTCCCACCTTAAATTGTATGTAAAGACAAAACTTTTTTTTTTTAGGTTTTGGACAGAATGTGTAAGGTTAGTATTCTTGTCAGATTTATAATACTTTCCGAGTCCCAACTGAAGCATTTCGGAGACCACTGTCACCAGTAGAGAAAGTGATAGGAAATCCAAAATACTTGCGTAGTCACAAGAACAAGGACGGGAGGGAAATTCTTCCAATGTGGAAATCTGTTTTGGCGACAACTGTATAAATAAGGCTATCCCCACACTGTGGAGAGATAACCCCTTACTTCTTGCTGTGTCTATGGCATGGTGGGAAGCAAAGTAAAATCTCCCTGACAGAACACAGTCAATTAAATAAAAACCTGATAGGGGTCTTAACTAGTCCCTACACCAAAAACGAAATGTTTGGGCTTTACATACATTTTTGGCACTTGAACAATACAAAGTTTTAACAATCCCCCAATGTATGTTGAAAGAAGCAAGACGATCTGCCTGCCCCAGTCACTGGGTAGAAGTCTAGTGCAGTGTGAAAAAAGTCAATATGGAGTGTGCTAGGCTACACAATGGGGAAGCACTCCAGCTGTTCCCTCATCCTCCAACAGGAGTAAGCCTAGCCTGCTCACTGTATCTCTTTGCAACCTAAGTCCAATACATGAGAAATAGAAAAAAAGTTGAATAAGAAAGGATAAAGAATCAGGAATTATACAACTTATCACAGGAGGTATACCATATGGGTAAATTAAAGTAAATACAAATATTTTATCGAATTCTTACCAGTGTCCCTTAAATCAGAAAGTCAGAGATACAGATATTCTGTATTATAAATACTGTATTGTACAGTTTGTTTTTTCAGCTGGGATATATTTCTAAAATAAGACCTTGATAAAGTAGATTCACATAGAAACATGGATATCATCTATTTACACTGTGTTTTAAGATGAGATTGATTTATTTCATACATAGACAGATCATTGCAATGACCATACCCCCCCCCCATGCACAGTTAATGGTACCACCCACCAATGCTTCGGTGGCACACTGGAAGACGTAGCAATTATACTGGCTTATTCCCGGTTCCACGCATTCACGACAGACAATACCAAAGTGATCAATATGTTTAATTCCCTGTAAAAGATAAGAACATACAGAGCATTAGTCAACAGATGAAACAAGATTTCTCAGCAGGAAATAAGTAGCAGGTTAGGTCTCATTACTCATACTTCTCTTTAAAACTGGAAGTAAATCAGAGAAACCTTTTTCTTTTCATATTTCCATTAAATATTACAAGAACATTCTTTCATACATTTCTTTTTAGCCACAAGAGTATAACATGGTTGGGTTACATAGAACATGTATTCATGCTATACATGTGTCCATTATTTACAAAGAAGGCCCATTTTGGATCTTCTCTGCAAATAATTGGGATGTGTGAGCATATTTTTGATTTTGGCATAAGGATTTCACCAATGATAACCTGGTACTGTGTAACAGTGTTCTCAACCTATTTTAAAGCATGATGCCTTTTATGCAAAATCTTGAGGCAACCCAGTTTGAAACGTGAAAAACTTAAATGTAAAAAATTATGTGTTGGCCTCCACTCCCCAAAATCAATACCAATCAACACAGGGATCTGTTATGAATTTTAAGAGGGTACCCAAGGCAAAATATAAAGACAATGTGGAGTTTACCCCCTTTTACATCAGAAGGCCCTCTCCATACATCAGGAGCCCACTTCCAGAGAGTCCCCCTATTAAGCAAAAAAAAAAAAAAGAGACCCAGAAGGCACCCCAGGATCCCACAGCACCCTGGTTGTGAAAGTCTCTAGCTACCAAAAATGCAGGGAATTATATTTTCAATACCACTGTGATAATAGAGTATTTATCAAGATTAGGATACATCTCACTTGTGATTTAGGGATTCAGATTGAGGTTAATTTGACTAGGTTCAGGTTAAGGGTCAATGCAGGTGAGCCCACACCCCTGACTAAGTCAGATTACAGACGTAGGGTGGAGCTGGGAAAAACAAAGATTGGCTGGCAGCCCTGAAGCTGGGACTGAGGCGTGGCTACATCAACCGATTGAGCCAATACCTATGCAATGTTTAAATTTTTTATGTGACTAGTATTTTGTAATAAAGTTTTAAAGCTTTTAACAGAGTGAACTATTAAGTATCTGTTTTACTTGTGACATGTACCCCAAGAGTTTAAAAAGAAGACTGCTGTGAAGTTTGGCGATATTAAAGATTGATGTGCCAAATTGATGAAAGCTGGTGAGGGGAAGGTGGATTGGTGTTCACTGTGGCTGTGATCGAAGTGCTTCCTCCCGCCTTATTGGAGACTTCTCAGTGATAATGTTGTCCTGGAAACAAAAAGCATCAGGAAATCTTCCCAATGGAGCCATAGACAAAAATAAAAACCTGGCAGAGGTTTTAACCTTTCTGCATTCTGTCCCAAATGTAACTTTTTTTTTTCTACTGGGGTTCTATTTTAAGTATTATATTTATAAAAGTAGAGAATCTTACATTCACCAAACATTCACCTCAGGTGAATCTTCCTGGTACATGTGTTTTAAAGAACAGTAATTCACCACTACCGAATGTTTGGTAAAACTCATATCTACTGCTTTATTAATATGCCCTACATGTACAACTATTAAGTGCATATTTGATATTCTGTCCTGTAATTTCGGCAAGTAAATTGCTTCATTTGTATTATAGCAATTTGTCAGTTTTGTGCCATGCTGTTTTTCATTTAGATTTTGATGTAGCTAGTAATTCAAAAGCTTCTTATAATAATCTATTAATTCAACAGAAGAGGCTAAATCCTTAATCCAGTCACCTTCACCATAGTGAAGAAAAAAGGGTTTAGCTTTATACTAACTGTTGTCAAATATTCACACATTCCTGTCTATTCTGACAGCAAAGACATCATTCTTAGAAAAGAGTTAGAAGGATTTATCTGGGACAGGAAAATATATAGGTGAACAGTTTTTCAGAGTATTGCAACTGCCACATGTAGTACAAACACTTGTATCCATGCTTTTACCGAGTACATAGAACCGGCCACATTCAGTCCCTGCCCAGTAAAGCACACATTACAGTAAAATAGACCTAACCTCTAAAAATAATTCCCCCCTTTCTCATGTCCAAAGTAAAATTGCTAGGGCAAAAAAATAACAAATACAAATATTAGTAGAAGGTGAAAAAAATCTTACAGCAAAACCTGGCCTCCAGGCTGTTTGCTGATGGCATCACTCAAACTTCCCAGAGCATCCTGGCAAAAAGTGCCCTCCTGCACCATGTTCTACGTTTCTTTTTACTGCTATTTTTTTCATCTTGTCATTTTACATTTTACATGGGGAGCACATAAGAAGAGGTGAGGTGTTTTTACTACAAGGTCCACTTCAAAGAACTTTTAATATTTCAAACACAGTTTTCCAGCAAGAAACTAGGATCAATTTTAAATAGAATGTGAACACCTGCCAATGTTAGAACTATCGCCATAGCGACCCAGGCGCCCGCTAAGGGCCAGGGGCACAGGGGTCCCAGGCAGTACCAGGAACAAAAGGGGTCCCTCTGATGCCGTGCAGGCTGCTTGGGTCGCTATGGCATCTCAGGTTCCGGGACTGTCACTGGTGCTGTGAGGAAGGAAGCACCGCTTTCCAGATCACTGACAACCTGAGTCAGTGAGAGCCAGCAATTGAGGTGGAGGAGGCCGGTGTTCTATCATTCCATCGGACGTGTAACTTTATCGGACTTCCGGTGGGGTGTGCAGGGGCATGGGCAGGGCTCAGGCGTGCGAGCAAGCGCACTGCGTGACCAGGTCCATAAATCTCACGGACCCTCACAGTTTAACATCAGCAGCTCTAGGTCCATAACTCTTACGAACGAATTATTAAATCATAATGTTAAAACAAAATATGATTGGAAGTAAATATATGCGTGTTAAATCTTATACAGTTTTTGTTAAATATAATATTTCTATAGGGAGAGAGCAAAAACACAAACATTATTTATGTGTGTGTTATATCACTATAAAGATACATATACCTGAGAACATGACGAGATATCTTTGAAGATCTTTTCCAGCACCACCGTTTTGGTATCAGGACTTATGAGATTGATTTCAAACCTTCCAACCTTTAAAACAAATGGATTATATCAATAAAACTAGAGCAACAATATGCAGTTCAAAATAATAGTTTATCTAATTGTAAAAATTAATTTTTTCAATGTGGCTAACCAATTATCACCTTACCACCCTACAAAAACTATTGGTAAATGCAATAATATGCCCAATGTGTTAGGGTATAAATATAGTTCCTCGCAGATAAACATACAGTGCATCTCCCTAAGAATGTTTGAGATATCCGGCAGTCCTCCAGCAAGTTGCTGGAGCATTGGAACTCACCATTATACTTGTCCAAACTCCGGCCCTCCAGCTGAGGTGAAACTACAAATCCCATGAAGCATCTCTCTCCGGGAGTCATGTCTGTGGCTGTGAGAATCTTGCAAAGCCTCATGGGATTCGTAGTTCCACCACAGCTGGAGGGCCGCAGTTTGGCCATCGCTGATCTAGGACAACATAACTGATTTGGAAACATTCACTTTCCAGTTCAGTTATGTTGTCCTAGATTGTTACCTTCTCCTGCCTTCTCCAAAATCTTCACATTTTTTTGAATAACCCCGTAAATGCATTAATGATTACACAGCTGCATTCATTTGAGTCTTTTAGTCTCCATTCACACCAAGGTGTTTGGCATTTACACATGTTTTGGGCACGCATTTATGGCACAGATTGTGTTTATTATGCCGTTTTGAATGTCATAATGTTCAGTTACTTACATTGTAAAGTGGAATTAATGAGATGTGTTATACAAAATTATAGATAGAGAATATAGAGCAAAAATAATGGTAAAAGTACTCAACACCTGCAACAGCAGCTGCCCCAAGAGACAAACACATTTCAACACTTTCAGAATTTAAATAATGTGTGATAAGTGCCGTCTGAATGCACCTCTGAGTCATGGGAATAAAAGCAGAATGAATCAACAGGTAAAGGAATATAAATAAGCAGCGGAATAATACTAAATCTGTACCAAACAGACACAGATGGGAATAAACAGGAAAGTAGGACTGCCAGAGGAAGTCAGGGAAGTGACTGATGTGTTACAGTAGAAATCAATCACTTTGCCATTGTTCTGTGTACTTCTCTACGTACACTACTGCTAGAAAGGTACAGCTGCAGCTTAGTAATCATTAAAACATCAACAAATGCATTTTTTTTTTAATACAAGCAGTGCAAGTACTAAATTTGACCTGGTATCATGCTTTTGCAGTCCTTGTACAGCAGGGCTGGAGGGTGAGAGGAAGAAGTAGAACAAGAGCCAAATCAGTTCATGTGCCGACATACTGGTAGGAGGTCAAACAGAATGACAGACAGATGAGCTATCTGTGCTGCCTCTCATTTTACTGCCCTGTCACTGGCTGGAGGCGAATCGAGGACGATCTGGGCTCAGATGAAGTGGAATGAAGGATACTGGCCATTAGACTGAAGAAATCTAGGTGCAGAAAAAATGTACTGCGGGGGAAATTTCTGGACTGAAGCTGAATATTGCAGAAAAGCTGGTTTTGTTGAGTTTTTTTATATCTTTCAATGGGCTGTTTATTTTTATCTTGTTATTTTTGGCTTGAGCTCTTCTTTTACCTAAATGTGAAACTGTAATTAACAATGTTTACAAGGAACATACTATGCATACAATATTGTGGTAAGCTATATTAGCATCTATCATTGTGTTGTGTATATGGTAACATACTGTATATTCATGAAAATCAATATTACAGCACCACTACAGAAACCCCCAAGTCTATATGCTTCGGAATCATCTTTTGCCTTTTCTTACAACTAAAAAAAAAAAAAACAAACAGTCTCAGATTAGTTTTATGCCTTTATCTAAGAAATATTTAAAGCTTAAAGGAGAACTATGAGGTGAGTGCTTTTCACTCGCCTCATAGTTCTAGCCGACCTGTGACAATGAGACTGTCACAGGTCGGCTCAGTAGATCGGGAAGTGAGCGAATACATACCGGCGTTCGCTCACTTCTCGATCCTGTCACTGCTCTCTGCCGTGACAGGGGAGGGTCTGGATTCCCCCCTCCCCGCTCTGATCCACCAGCGCTGACTGGCGGAACGGATGGGGGAGGGGGCGGGTACAGCTGGCTCTGCCTATAGATAGGCAGAGCCAGCTGTCACTCACGCAGCTGGGCGGATCCAGACATGATTGTCTTGATCCGCTTCAGCTGCGGCTTCTCAGTATACCGCGCCTATACTGAGCCTAGGGTGACAGGAGGGCGCTAGTTTGTGTCCTCCCGTTACCCTAAGGAGAACTATGGGGAAAAGCCTTAACCCCATAGTTCTCCTTTAAAGAACTCCAGGGAAAATCTCTCTTAACCCTTGCAGTGGGGCTACTCGTTTTCATCTAGGGACAAGAATAAAACAAGTCATACTCATCTGATCCTTGGAGCCAGCTGACTCCTAGATCAGTCCCTGAAGCTTTTCCTCCACCTCCACTCCAGCGGTCTAAGGATCCTTGAGTCATCACATCCAATACACAGTGTATTGGAAGTGAGGCCCCGAGGGACATTTCATTGCTGGGCATAGCAGGAGACAGGGTGGAGGGAGCACTCTAACAGCCAACCGGGTCCAAGGTTCAGGTGAGTATAACTTTGCGTTTTTAGAACCTAGACAAAAAAAAGCACTGAACGCTTGCAGTGCGGAGGTAGCCCCACTGCAAAGGTTAAGAAAGCATTTTTCCCAGATTTTATTTTCAAAGCAACCCTCTCACAAAAATAAAAAATGTGTCAAATAAAGTCTCCCTCACAAAGCACATCATTATTTCTTACCTCACCTGTTGCCTGTACCACCGATCTCTGTTGTAGTGTAACACAAATCATAAAGAATTCGGCACTTCTGGGAGTGTCCATTTCCTGGTCTCATGCTGGGTTCCGTGAATGCAACAGGGGACCAGGAATCCGACACTTCCAGAAGTGATGAAGAGTTTGTCAATGTGTATTGTGAGAGAAGTGACTATTTAGTGTCTTCTATGCATGTCATACATAACATTTATCCAAAAACACATATATTGGGTACACCCTGTATCTCGAACCAGTTCAATATTATATTATATACCATATAAAAAGTTATTTATTTATGAAAGTAGAAACACTTGGATCGTAGAATAGTGTAAAAAAAAATCAAACAGAATAAAATGTAGAAATACAACAAAGGTGACCATTCACCCGAGTTAGAAGAACTCCACAGTGGCACATCTTTGGAGCCTTTATAGGCCACAGTGAAACATCAAACAGAAGCAATTGTATCCAATAGAGTAACCCCATCTCATAGTGAGGTTGACCACATAGCCGCCAGGTCCGAAGTGACTACTTTTTAATTTTAAAAAAAGTATAAAAAATCAGTGAAATAGAGAGAAAAAAGAAACTAAGAAAGAGAAAAATACAAAAAAAACAAAACCCAGAAAAGGGATACAAGTGAAAAGGTGAGTAACCCAAAAGGCCATCCCAAAAGTAAGATACAAGAAACTAGACACAGAAAGATATAAGAAGAAAACAAAGGGAAAAAACAGCTATCAAGATCAAAAATGAGAAGGATGAAAGGGACCAGAAAAAAGTTTTGCCCTCGTCCAGGCTTACAAATTCCAGCCAATAAAAATCTACTCCACATTGTGGAGCCACATGGAGATTATCTGTGTGACCAGATGGTCACACAGATATAAGTTGGACCCAATACTTCTGTTTTTTGATAAATGGTGTAAATGATATAGGAGGATCTTAGGGGGATCAGCGTAATCCACAGTAATAATAATATTAATCTATCATATACAGTATTCCAGCCCAAGTTGCACTTACTCTTCTCAAGGCAGTGAAGTCTAAATTTTAAACAGAAAGAATAATGAAGCCAATGAAGTCAGAAGGTAGCTAAAGCAACTGACCTGCCTACTCTATGCTCTAGGTCAGTAACAAAGTATTGAAGCCATTAGGCCAACATGATCAGCATTTTCAAAAAACAGTGGTTAGCAATGGCAGCCTGCATATCTCTCTTAGTACAGGTTTCCATACGGTAAATCACTGTGTTGGACTGTGACAGGCATGCCAAATAAGAAGCTTACTGAAGAGACAAAGAGTCAGAGTGTTTGACAAGTACATAGCTGGAGTACTCATTTGTCAGTCTTGTGGAGTCTTAACTTTTGGATGGCCTTCATTCAACAATAAATGAGGTTGCCAATAGCCCTTTCTGTGTAAAAAACATAGCTTTGTATTTTTTGATTATAGAGTTTAATTGAAAAAACTCGATGTTTGACTTAAAAAGGCGAAATTCTGCACGAAGATAGGCTAATATGGTTCATGCCAAAATATATACACTGGGAACTTGTCAGACCTTGATTTGTAAGGTTACGCTCACATCGCTAACACAAACAATGTTAACCCTCTACAGCAGGATGAAATACAGTTTTAAAGAAAAAAACATTTACTGGCTGTTACATACCTGAAAGAGCATCGTCCTGTTCTTTTCAGAATCCGATGGCTGGACATGGCTTGGTGCACTTGCATGTCGTCTTCTTGACTGTATCTTTCCATCATAAACTTTTTTCTGAATAGTAACGCTACTACATCTAGACCTGAACTCCTGCTGGTCCTCAAAGCCTGAGTCTTCTAGAATCCTCTCTGGAAATGATACCCGCATAGAAGCAAGGTTGCTCTGGCTACCCATTGTAAACATCCCTGAATGGTTCCTGGAGGCAGAATTGGCATTGGTCTCAGTGTCCTGCTCCTGAAATGTACTATCAGTTGGAGACTCTGGCATATCTATCTCGGCCAAAGTGAGGTCAGAGCTGGAGTCCATACTGCGCTGCTCACTGAGCAGTCTGAGGCGTTGACGTTCATGTTGAGAAAATTTCTCAATGCAATCATCGACGAGAGTAGACGGAGCGCTCTTATGAGCAATGACCACCTTCCCACAGTATAAAACCTCAAACTTCTGTGAGTTATAAAAGGCATCTTCACCATCTCGGCTGACCTTTGAATCATCCTGCAGTGCCACTTTGGACACTTGTCGAATGCTACTGATGACCGTAGAGACCTGAAAACATAAAAAACAGAAATGTAAGAAACAGAAGATTACAAGAATTCAAATCAGTGAATTCTGTAAAATTGAGTTAACTTATAAACGATGTATTTGGACATAAACCTTTTTGTAACTATGACAGTTACCATGAATGTGTTCATTACATTGGTCTTCATACATGATAGATAATGAGGACCTGCATTTCGTTGCCTCAATACGTTTTATGACAATCAGCTTTGATCTTTCATTTTCAAAGCTTAACTGAAAAAAACTAAAAGGAAGGCGGGAGATACCATGGGCAACTGCTCCAGATTCTGTCTGCTCCAATTTTGATAAATTACCCCCATTGTATATAGCCAGGGGTCCTATGACATCCATGTCCAAAAGAGGAGTATAAATAAACAAATAACCCAGTCTTGAACACTTAGCATGTCACTTTCCAGACTGTAACAGCTGCTCTTTCATCTACTGAAGACAGACAGGCCGCAGGCAACGTTCGATTGGCTGACAACATTTTAATTTGATGTGAACTGTTGCAAAAGCAACACATGCTGACTTAAAGTGGAAAGCTTCACTGAATAGCCCATGTCCTGCTGTATACATTTTAGCAAGTACTATTTCCGCTTTTGGCTGTCTAATAAGGTTGGCAATAAAAAAGGCAAAACAGTGTGAATGACCTCCTTTAAAAATAGCTGTAACATACCTATTGTGCAGTTGCTACTCCCTCCAGCCCCCCCAGAAGAGTTACTTGGCTCCTGTCACTATGACACATACTGCAGTGCTGGAGAACCCACATGCAACAGTTCCCATGACAGTGACATTCATGGAAGAATTGTTATCGCCTACATCTTGAGTTAACCCTTCCCTCTAAGAGGAAAACATACAACTTCCTTACAACCATTAGCGGCCAGATACATAAGCCCTACAAAACACAACATAAACATGGTTCAGTTTTACTTTTTTAAAAGCAGTTCCTTGTTTTTTTTTAGTTTTGCTTGTAAACCTCAAGAGACCATGCAGCTATTATTAGCAGCTACGGGAACAATGCAGAGCTGCTGAACTTATCTGAGAGTTCAGGATGTCAGACCTTTAAAGCACAATGCTACCCAAACCTTATTTTGGAGAAAAAGTGCTGTTCAGCGCTGGGTGTGGCCCAGTTGGCTCAGTTGACCTAGTGTATGGCCCAATTGACCCTTTTTTAAAGGGTTTGTGTTGACTGGGGGCTCCATTTGCAGCCAATTTTCCTTGTTCTCAAGTTTGGATCGTCTACTTAGTACTTTAATGTAGCTATGTGTAGTACTCCCAAAACATACAAAGTAGCAAAATCTGTGTGATGCAGTGAATAGAACTATCTGTTGACCAGTTTATAAACATACTGGTAGCAGTTAAAGCGGAGCTTTACCCCTATCTTTAAAATAACAAACACTCGCATACATCCCCAGAGTTCGTCAATTCGATTTGTGCCTCACCCCCTATTATAGACCAACACCAAAAACAATGCATCTGGGGTTTTAAGAGGCACACACAATTGCATTTGTTTAAAATCAGTATTCATTTACTGATCACAACAGATTTTTTTCAACAAACATTCATTTTGACATGCAATAAATATAGGAATAAAAACACATTATTTTTTGTCCCCTCCTTTACAATCTGCCTCCCGAAGTCACATTATGCTTCTATAATAAACACTTCATGCATTCACAGAATGGGGAGGAGATCGGAGGGAGATTGTATACTGATCTCCCTCTGCTCTCCCTGCACGGATCCACAATGCCGGTCCCGGATCGGACGCCTGGAACCACGGCAATGGCGGCGGTGACGACGGCAGGTAAGAAGAGGAGGCGCACAGAAAGGTACAAGCGATCTGGCGTCTTTACAGACGCTGGACTGATTGTATGTAAATAGCCATCCCCGGCGGTTTCAAACTTAGGCAGTTTCCCGCTCGTGCGCACTAGGGGGCCCGCCGCCCGTCTATTTAGATCCGGCTGCCGATCGACTTACATTGGGCATTCGATTAAGTTTTTTTCAGGTTGACCAGATCGGACCGCCTATCCGATAGGGGCCTAAATGTATACCTGTGACTCAATAGAGAAGTAAAGCCAAAAAAAAAGGTTGCGTGTCTTTTTGATTAAATATATCACTTTAAAGTTTATTTAAAATGTTGTTAATCCTTAACACAGTACAACGAGAGGCTTCCTTGTAACAAAGCAAAGAAAAAATTAACCCACCAGGGCTTGTAAATTAGGAGCAACATTTATTCATCTCATTATGAACTCACACAAGTAAACCTTCTTCTAATAGGAAGTAAGCAGGATCACATAATGTGCTACTAAGTAAACAATATATGCCAGGACTTTGTGTACCTGTGGATCATAGTGTTATGCCAGATGTTCTTCATTTAATGGTCTGTAAACACAAACCATGGCCTAAAAGGCAGATTATCAGAAGTCCTGCACTGCCAGAGAATGTGGCAATCCACTGTGCTTTCACAGAACAAAGTTATTTGAAGGAATTATTAATTGTGTTTTAGGTAAATTACAGCTATTGTAATCGTAAAACAGTAAAATATGTTATACTACAATAACTACACGTGTCATGCTTATGGATGGGGAATGAGAAGGCCTATTGTTCTCTATGAAATAGACCTCATTTCACACACTCTAGATTATTCATTAAACCAATGCAAACAGCTAAAGAGATCTGCAACAAACAGATTTCAGTTTTGTGAAGTCAAATCAGTAACCGTGAATTCTCAACGGCAACTCCGGGTTTCAGTCTGCACAGTCTGTCTCTGCACACTATTTGTTTTACTAACTGAATCAGTTTTATTATGGATGTAAGTTCAAATAATATACAGTTCTATAATTTAAAAATTTATGATATTATAAGAAAGAACAGTTCTTCTTAAAGTGTAATTCCACCCTTGCAACCAAATTTGGAAAACACCTGCTAACTATTTGTTAAATGTTCCTATTCACATAGCAGAACTTATTAAAAAAAAATAATTGCTATTTACCTTTATAAATGCTCTTTTCTGAAAACTACAGTACTAAAAAGTCCTAACTATGCAATGTTTATGAGGGGGTTGGGGTTGCTTGCCACAACGTAAGGTAGGTACTCATTGACATACTGTATATATATATTTTTTTTTTTGTTCAGCATCTGAGTGGAACTGATGGAGAACTAGTACCTCGGCATTCCGATCAGGCTGCACCCACCTACCAATAAGTCCTTGGCTGCTGCACTTGTTTGTGTGCTCAATAATGATGAGCTTGTGATTTTATCAGGCCCAGTATTACTAAGCTGTACAGGGGGCGGACGTTCCGGTATGAACACTCTGGCATCAGTGCGTCCCCACACTGCAAATGTCAGTACTGGTTTTCAACAGGTACATGAATCTGGGGATAGCACCGACATACTGTAGGTTGTGCAGATGAACAACAGAATTCTAAAGAGTGTCATAGACAATCTTTATGAATTCCCCCAATGTGTTTCACAAACCTTTACTGAAAGCCTTTCAGTTAGATGATTAAGGTTTTTACATAACTCAGAGATGCATTCTCTGCATACCCCAGTTGACACCCCTTTCAGAGATCGCCTTTGCTATTTTGGGTTTGTTATTTTAGTAGTTATTTAAGGATTTGTAGACTCGGATATAAGTGTTATTATATAAATGAATAGGTGTATAGATTCAAAGGTGTTTTCTTTGACACAAGAAAACACCTTTGAACTCAAAGACAATGGGGGCAATTAAAATAAAAGGATTTGCAAAAGATTTGCAACACTTTTCTGGCATTATGGCCGTATTAGAAAGTCCTGCACCAAATTAATGAAGGCCGTGCAACAATTTTCTTGGTATTTCCGACACATGCAACACTTCTTATGTGTGACCCTTTTACATTCTGGTGCTATGGCTGCAACAAATAAAAAACAGAAATACTGCGATAGCTGGGATTAGAAAAGCGGAAGTAAATAAGACCTCTTCCATGCCTGAGTAAATGGTGTCCTATGTGTAAGTATTGTGTCTGATTCTGCCTGTATCTTTCTATAAAAGATTCACATACACCTTACCGACAGCTACATAAATCTGCTGCACGGACGGGAGACAGATTTTTGAGTTTCTTCAACTCTGTTTGAATGAATTCCAGGAAATGCATCTTCTCTTTAATCCTGTTCTTGAAAACCCTATACTATTTACCAGAAGAAAATCTAAAGTCCACTGGACCCTATTCAGACCAAATTCACCCGAAGGGCTGGCAGTGCACCTGTTCACACCAAGAGACGAACCTGCGCCTTTTATACAACGCACCACATCTTGACGCACCGATGGTTCACAGAGGGCTTCAGACAGGGCTTCTGGGTAAGCATGACATAGGTTCTCCCTCTTAATAAGTGTAAGGAGGGCTGGAATGCAAGAAGAGGATGGTGGAAAGGAAAATACAGGGATCAGAAGCAGACTACTAAAACAGACTTTTTTCTGTGGCTTTATTAGTGGCGCAATTGGGGCTCATTCTAAATTCTCCTTAGAACTCGGGCATGTTCAGCCACTGTTGAATACAGCTTTGGAGCTACACCATAAAGAAGTCAATTTTTCATTAATAGGAAGCAGTTCCAGTTCAATGTCTCAACTATTAGGGTCAACGCAAAAACTGGCTTTAGCTAATCGTGGGAAAATGATCACAGACTTCACAAACTTGTACCACTGTCCAAAAGATGACGCATATTGCTGCAAAATTTGGTTTTCACATGCCCTTAGCTTTACCATAACATTTACAAATAATGAATCTATTTATCATTGTAATGAAATCTAGGTCCAGCACGCAAACATTTAAATCAGCAAACTTCCTCACAGCACTGTAAGGTCCAGCAAAAGTATATTCTTTTTAGTGATTCTGGTCAGTTTATAAATGCAAAAACACCAGGGTAGGGAAAAAATATACATTATAATTATATACATAGATGCAAAATCAACAGAGCAAAGAGAAAAAATTCAGTAACCCAAAGCAACCAGG